GAAGCAGGCCGGAAGCGGAGAGGCACGCGAGACAGCGGCCGGGCCTGGCCGGGCAGCACCCCCGACAGGCATCCCCCTGCCGATGCAAAAGGCCAGGGAAATGGTGTTCAAGTGGCGGCAAGGCCTAGCCCGCGTGCGTGCGCTGGTGCCGCTGGTGCGCCGTGGCACAGTGGGCCAGAAGACCGGTGCAGGCAGCCAAAACTCTAGACGCGTTTTGAGCTCCAGAGTCGCTGAATGGGGCTCGAACCGAACGTGTGACCCTGCCAATGGATTGCTCTCCGAACGAGGAATCCATTGGTGGGGTCACACGTTCGGTTCGAGTCCCACTTAGCGACTCTGGAGCTCAAAACGCGTCCGGAGTTTTGGCCACCTCCACCGGTCTTCTGGCCCACTGTGCGTTGTGGTACCGGAGTACCCACACCGCCCTGCTGCTGCCGCACAGTACCGCCTTGCAATCGATAGGGCCTTAGTATGGGTGCGGAGGGCGGGCGGACAGACGGACAGACAGACAGACAGACAGACAGACAGACAGACAGAAGTATCGGCTCAGCAGAAACGCACCTCCACTTTTCCAATACAATCAATATATCGTTTCGAATCCAGCTGCTGCGCTGGCACCGGTGTCTCGTTTATTATTATTTTATTCTTTTCATCTTTCACTGCTCCCATTTTCCTATATAACCTGTGAGCGCTTACGTTGTACTCCCTCCCGTCGCTTCCGAAACGAAATCAAGTCAACTCTGCTAAAACGCTGTCACAACGAGTCAGGATTCACGCGGTGCTCGACGGGTCGTTTCGACACACACACCTCCAAAAACTGCAGTTTTTAGCTGCTTTTTTTCTGCCGAGGCAACCTAGATACTACAAGCTCACTGCCGTCCCAGCTCCCCCCTCCTTTCTCATTACCATCATCCCCCCCCCCGCTCCCCACTTTGGACGACAAAATGAAATGCGGGGGTCAAGCGCCCTTCAAGGGACTGTAGGGGGCGCCCTGCAGCCTCTGCAGGCCCTGGGGGCCGCCTGGAGGCCGCCTGGAGCACCCAAACGCCGCCTGGAGACCCCGGAGGCCAGACCCTTATAACGTGTGAGACGCCGAGAGGCCAAATTTCAATTTAAACAGCAAATTAGCCCAACGAAAAGGCGGGGACGGAAGGCGCGAGGCGGCGGCAGGGAGAGAGGGAGAGCGAGGCGGTGCGGAGAGTGACATTTGCGCGCGCTTTTCGCCATCAAAGTAAAAACAAGATTGGCGCAAAAAGAAAAGAGAGAAACAACGGCCGGGAAGAGCGTTGTAGTAAAAGGGCGGAAATGGGAAATGGAATCTGACGCAAGTTTGTCGCGGACAGAGAGAGAGAGAGAGAGACAGACGGCTCGCCTCGGCCGGGCTAGGCCGAACGCCGTGCCGGGTAGGCAACGCGCAGACAGGGCTGAGTTCGCGTTGCCTACCTGCAGGCGCTCCTCCACCCGGGCCAATTTTCGACTCGAACTGAACGTGTGACCCCACCAATGGATTGCTCTCCGAACCCAGGAATCCATTGGTGGGGGTCACACGTTCGGTTCGAGTCCCATTTAGCGACTCTGGAGCTCAAAACGCGTCTGGAGTTTCGGCCGCCTCCACCGGTCTTCTGGCAAATCCACTGTAAGGCCGTCGAGCAGCCTGTGGCGCTCCGAGACGCCGCGCGGGTCGGAGTCGCGCTGCCTCGGCGTTCGGGTCGGGGCGTTCCGAGGGGCCTTCGGGACGTCGCATTCATTATGCTGATGACACAGACGTCCTACACCAGGACGCCTCGGCTGGCAACAGGGCGCCGCCGTGCCCCACACTGTACGAGCGTCGTCTAGCGATTCGCTTCGCACTCACTTCGACGTGGACCCCGTCGAGCGCCTCCAGTGTATACCCACAGACTCGGAGCACTCATTCACCAGGACCCCTCCAAGGGGTGTTGTACTACACTGGCAAGATTGAATCGTCCGTGTCGTACCTCATGCGGTGGCAGGCGCCGACAGGGCCGCACTTTCGGCCGCCCAATCACGCGTCGGGACACTCACACAGTGCGTCACACACGACGCGGCGGCCGTTAAAAACGCGCTGACGGCGGTTTGACGCCGGCGTCGTCCGCGAGGTGTCGGTCCGCGGATCGCCGGGTCCGCGACACGCGTCGTGCTCCGCGCCGGCCTGCAGCGCCACTAGCGACGCCAGTGTACCGCCAGCGTACCGCCAGCACCGCCAGCGTACGGCCCTGCACGTGGCTGGCGGCGGCGAGGACGGCGAGGGGGCGGCGGGGTGGCGGCAGAGCCCTCGCGCCGGCCAGGCCGTGGGCCCGGCTCGCCCGGGGTGGCGGAGGAGGGGGGGGGGAGACCGCAGGCAACCCTCCCGGAGGGTGGCGCCGGGCGGGGCTGGCTGCGCTGCTCCGAGGGCGTGGCGTGGCGTGGCGGCCTGCAGACTGATTCCGAGAGTCGTTTTCGTCACGCTGTCCCTCTCGCACCTACACGGCACGCCGCACGAGTGCGAGAGAGACAGGGCGACGAAACGACTCTCGGAATGAGGCGGCCTGCCGGCCGGGCGGGCGGATGGCTGCAGTCAACCCCCAAGTGGATTTCGTCGTCTTCCGTCGCCACGGCCCGGCCCGGCCAGCCAGCCTACAGATGTCGCCGAGGACCAGCGTCGCTCTGTCTCTCTCGCACCGACGCGGGGCGCCCCATGGGTGCGAGAGAGACAGAGCGGGGGTGCGAGACGGGCGTGGACAAGTGTATCGAGACCAACGGAGGCGGGAGATGTTCCGGCTGCTTGGAGAGAACGGGGGAAAATGGGGGGGGGGGACAGCGGAAGAAGAGGGAAAATGGCGGACGGGGAATCGAGGATAAAAGTGAATGGGTGGGTCAACAATCGGGAAGATTGGCGCAGGAGTGCGCGCAGCCAATGCAACGATACGGAAACCATACGTGTGGTGAGAGAGACAGAGAGAGAGGTGTGCGGTAGTGTGTGTGTGAGACACGTGCGTCCCCACGTGCACAGCCCCGTCAATACTATGCAATCCATTCACACAGACACATCTTTTGGGTGACATCTGCCACTAACTTTCCCCACGCCCTTGCACGCGCCTACGGAGGGAGAGAGACAGGCGGTGCGATTCTCTCTCGCTCGCACAGTGGGCCAGAAGACCGGCGGAGGCGGCCAGAACTCCAGACGAGTTTTGAGCTCCAGAGTCGCTAAACAGGACTGGAACCGAACGTGTGACCCCACCAATGGATTCCTCGTTCGGAGAGCAATCCGGTGGGGTCACACGTTCGGTTCGAGTCCCATTTAGCGACTCTGGAGCTCAAAACGCGTCGAGAGTTTTGTCCGCCTCCACCGGTCTTCTGGCCCACTGTGCCTCCCCCACCCTGGTCAGGCCGTGGTCCGGCCGTCCGCCGCGGATATTCAAACAAATATCCGTCGGAATTACCATTGCTAACCGCGTCGCGTGGAAAGGGGATGCAAATGGGATGCGAGTCTCTGTCTCTCTCGCACCGCCGCGGAACGCCCCGGCCCCGCGAGAGCGAGGGAGAGAGAGACAGAGCGCTTTGGCAAGGGGGTCAGTTGGCCGCGCTGCCCCGCACGACGACGACGACGGGATTAGAGTCTGCCAGTGCTTTCGTCGCTCTGCCTCTCTCGCACCTTCTGGGACGCCCAGAGAGAGACGACTGCGACAGCGCAAGAATGCAGAGCGTAAAAAGGCAGCGAAAAAGACCCGGAAAGGGCAGCGCGAGCGCCCTACAGTGTAGGACGCAAGATGAGCCCTTGGAGGTCCGGTCCAGGACGTCAGGATCCACCCCAACCCGCAGTGAGGTTCCAGGAAGGGTGGGCTGGCACACTGGCACGCCCTGGCGATGACTGTACACGCTACACCTCCGTGGAGGCCCGTGCGGCCTGGCGCGGCGCGGTCGACGCCGGCTAGGCTCCACCCTCCACCTCCACCCCCGCCCCTTCGCTCCGCAGGGATGACGTCATTGCCGGGGAAGCCGGCTGAATCAAACGATGACGTAATGCGATCAGCTGGGCTGGCTGGACACGGGTCGCGGTTTGAGCTCCAGAGTCGCAGCATGGGACTCGAATCGAGCGTTTGACCCCACCAATGGATTGCTCTCCGAACGAGGAACCCATTGGTGGGGTCACACGTGCGGTTCGAGTCCCATTCAGCGACTCTGGAGCTAAAAACCCGTCCGGAATTCTGACCTCCTACAATGGTCTTCTGACCCACTGTGAGTCCTAGGGGCTGGTTGACCATTCGAACCAGGATTGCTGCAGTCTCCAGATTTTCTCTTCTGGTTTCTGGACTGTCAGCTGAGAAGATCAAAGGAAGAGACTGAATGTGCCCCGCAGACATTATTTTCACAATTATTGCGATTCGCAATAAGGAAGCCCACTGGGTCAGGAGGCTACGAAGGACTTGAGAAACCAGAAGGGAAATACGCAACAGTCATTGCAATTCATTATGAACAATGTTAATTCATCCAATCTAGACAAGCAAACTAGATTTAAATCTTCTTGGAAACCAGTATTGCACTGAACACTGTGAGGCTTTCTGTTCATTCTCCACTCCATTTCGAACAGAACAAGACTTTAAAAATATTAATGCAAACAATGACAAGAAACTGCTACAGTTGGGGCAAACTGTTAAACTTTCAGAAATCCACAACTACACAAAACTAATGTTTCATTCAATGACATGACGGTACAGAAAATTGAACGAACCTGGCTAATGGAGTAGCACAAAGGAGATTGAATGAACGTAAACAAAAGTTTATGACATGCCCAGGTCACTGTGAAGCTTGAGCTTCACTGAAGGTCCTCAGGATAAGGTAAAAGGAAGCGTGCAAAACCATTTGGTTTGGGCAGGGCATTAAGTCACTCCTTGAGATCGCAAGAGCCTCTGAATTTACTGACATGACCACAGGAAATTCAGCAGCGGAAAAAAATTGAAACAGAGAGACGAGCCAGTGACAGCCTCCCGGTATTCACTCACCACAAGGCATCGGTTTTTGCACCCCATGAGGAGCCAGGCACCGTCCTGCAAGTGGTGCTGCCACACTGCCACACCATAACCTCCACCTAAGTGGCTCTGGCAGGCTCAGGGTCCATGCTCTCCGCTCCGACGGGTTGCCGAGGTAAGGCTGCCGCGACCGAGGCTCGACTTGAACGCTTCAACGCGACCCGATTCGGACCCAATTACGACTTTAACGCCTCCAGCGGTCGATGTCCAGCGCCTAAATTGAGCCAGGCGTAGGCAGGACCTTAGGGCCAGACGGCCAGGGATGGGATAAATCAATACCAGTCACCAGTCGCGAGGAACTAAGAATAAACAAAAGGCTGGCGCTCACCGTTTCCCAAATGCTGCGGTTCGCGGAGCTTGCTCCCGGAGTGTTTGCACCCGGGTGCACTCCCACACCAAGAAAAACACGGCCAGAAGACACAGCAGACGGCGAGTCACACAAACAAAACGTCAAAACAAGTTCTGCACCGAACCAGTGCCACTCGCCTCCGCCCCTGGTTCGCCGAGTCGCGTCCAGAGGGCAGCACTGCACGGCGGGCGGCGGCGAAAGTCGACTAATCGATTGGTAGATCGAGCTCTCGACTGCGGCCGCCTTACCCGGCGGGAAAGTTTGAAGACGGCCGCAGAAATGGCAACCACTCGGGAACCTCGTTAGTTTGGCAGTCAACCTGCGCTCGTCGCACAGCATCAGTTTCGTCATTTTTTTCAAACTGAACGGAAGTGCTCTTGGGCGAAGGAGACGCCCTCGGCGTGGAGTAGCGACGGCATGGAGCGTCGTGAGGCGTGGAGTCTCGACGCAACGAGCCACACGGGGTATTGGCGGAGACCAGGCGAGCGGCGCTGGTAGGTCGGTCAATGAAACACGTGCTTCGTTTTCGCCACCTCATATTCATGCGAGTTGTTATGTTCTGACAAAATATCGTTCGCGGTGGGCAATGGACGCCTGCCGCACAGTGGGCCAGAAGACCGGTATGGCGGCCAAAACTCTAAGACGCGTTTTGAGCTCCAGAGTCGCTAAACAGGACTCGAATCCATTGGTGGGGCCACACGCTCGGTTCGAGTCCCATTTAGCGACTCTGGAGCTCAAAACGCGCCTAGAGTTTAGGCCGCCGCCACCGGTCTTCTGGCCCACTGTGTGCCGTCCGGGGTGCGGTACTCTGGCTTACTGTATTTTCCAAGGAGTACCATCCCAAATTTATTCCCCGAGGAAAAGGGAAAAGGGAGCGGGGGGCCAACCTTCGGCGTATCGAACCGAGAGCCGGTTTTTGACAGTGGCGGGGTACAAGAGCGCCGCTTTTTTACTTTGTGTGAAAACAAGAGCACGCCATGGCCACGCTCGGTACAGCAGGCTCGCTCCGAGAGTCGTTCTCGTCACTCTGTCTCTCTCGCACTCGTGGGGCGGCCCGTGTGGGTGCGAGAGAGACGGAGCAGTCCGCGGCGTGGCGTGCCAGAGAGGCGTGTTGCGGCCGGCGCCGGGACGCGACTCTAGCGAGTAGGGAGGTGTGCATCGGACAGCCATCGGGACAGACCGTTCTAGGCCACCTCGCGGAAAAAGAGAGAGAGAGAGAGAGAGAGAGAGAGAGAGAGAGAGAGAGAGAGAGAGAGAGAGAAGACAGACAGACAGACAGACAGACAGACAGACAGACAGACAGACAGACAGAGACACGCTCATGTCGAGTTTTGACACGCGAGGGAGAGCCAGGCACCCGAGCAGGCACCTGTCGCGGCGGTAGTCGCGTCCCGCGGCGTGTCCGCAGTGCTCAGTCACATGTCACACGAGCGAGCTCGTACGCTCCGACCTGGAATATGGAGAAAAGACGTCCCCAAACTCAGCAAATTAGAAAAAAAAACAAACAAAAAGTACGTCTTCAAATAAAAATTTAATCATCATAAATGTGGCATCTGTCTAAAAGACCTTTTTGTTTGCTGTTCCACTGTTCAGTTCATCATCAGCAGATGGCAAATATTCTATCAAATCCACTGTCGAAATTAAAAGCATCCAAATGCCAGTTTTTCTTTTCCGCTGGCTCTTATTTTGTTTCGTTTCTTTTTTTCTAGTGCTGGTGTGCGCAGCGAGCAGTGTGCAGGTTGAGCACGAGCCGACTCTCAAAACACGAGATAGGACTAGACGTGAAAACGGGGCTGGGCCATTTCCCTGCACAGCCTAGGCACTGCCAAGGCACTGCCAAGGCCGCATTGCACATGGCCCTCGGGCCCCACTGGGCAAATCAACCGGCAGCCACCTGATTCTGAAGGGTTGTCTGTCACTCTCGCACTCCTCCGGGACGCCCCGTGAGTGCGAGAGAGACAGGGCGACGATCCCAGGGCATCACCAGCTGGCGGCCATAGGCAGAGTGGTCGAGGCCGCTCTCCTGGTCGGTCGGATAGTGCAATCTGTCCTTCCGACGACTGGCTTGAACCAGTCATAAATAGATCATTTTCACTGTCGTTGGCGCACAGAGTCAGAAAAACAAAACGCACACGATTAAACGACCCCCATGAAAATAGCCTCGCAGTTTGCATGCAACACACCAACCCTGCAAAGCATCCAGCTGCCGTTAGGTTGGGTTGGGTTAGGTTAGACGTGGTTTTTGTTGAGCGCCCTTCTGCTGTCAGTTCTCTGTTGTTGTTGTTGTTGTCGTCGTCGTCGATTGACTGACTGTCAGCAAGACACCGGAAGTAGCGCACTGGGGCGGCAATTACCACTAATGGCCCGCTGGGGCACACCGTGCACATTGTCGCGCTCCCAAAGGGGCACTACCCACGTTCAGTTCGAGTCCTGTTTAGCGACTCTGGAGCTCAAAACGCGTCTAGAGTTTTGGCCGCCTCTACCGGTCTTCTGGCCCACTGTGTGCTGGGTCGTTTCGTCGCTCTGTCTCTCTCGCACCCCCACGGGGCGCCCTACGAGTGAGGCAGAGACGCACCGACGAAACACTACTCCCGATATTGCACCGCGGTGCTAAACTCGTTGGTTAGTCCGGCCTCGGCCGGTTCGGCTCGCCTTTCCTCGCCTTTTCCGTATTGGAGTGATAAGCGGCCGAAGGGCGGCTTAGCGCTGTCTCTCTCGCACTCATGGAGCGTCCCGCCGCGGCACGGCTATCTGCCTCTGGGTCAGTGTGACAAACATTTTGCTGGACGAAAGTCGAAACAGGAACACTGCCATCTTAATCAGATGGATCGGGTGGATCGGGAGTGTGTGACACACTCGAAGTTGGGTGTGACACACTCCAAGTCGGTCGAGTTGCTGTGACTGCGGCGCACAGCCGAAGGAGGCAGGAGTCACCGCGATGCACCATTGTCGCTAGGGTTGCCACCCTCAGCCTGCCTACCCGGCAATACCCGGGCTAATGCAGCCGCTAGGCAGGCAGGCGGAGGTTGGCAACCCTCTCGACACTGCGTGCGTCGCGGTAATTTTCGCCCACTCACGGCGGCAACATTGACGTCGCGCCCCTCGTTAACGTCAGTTGCAGTCGGTGCATTTGTTTGGATCGAAGGCCGATGCACAGAGAGAGAGAGAGAGAGAGAGAGAGAGAGAGAGAGAGAGAGAGAGAGAGAGAGAGAGAGAGAGAGGCCGGCCCAGGCTCGGCGCCGTTCAAACATAACCCACCTTTTGGCGGCCGGCCGCATGGCACGCATGGCACCGGGGCGGGGCGGGGTGTGGCGGGGTGGGGGAGGAGGATAAGGAAGTAGGGGAAGCGCGGCGGGAGGGGAGGGGAGGGGAGGGGAGGCGCAGGGAACGACCGGCCCCGCCGCGCCCCGCCGCAGGCCCGTACTATCTGTTGCCTGCCCGCCGGCCGCGCCGCCGCCGCGCCACAGGCACGGGCCGCAGTGCCCCGACGGGACGAGACGAGTTGCGACGAGGCGAAGCGAGGCGACTCCGCGACCTGCCGGTGCTGGTGTTCCCCGCCGTCGCGGCCGACGACGACGCCGCGCCGTCAGTCAACAACAAGCCGTCGGATCCGCCGCTGCGTGGGGCCCGTGGTGGCCCGCCGCGGCCCGTGCCCGCCCCGCCGCAGACACTTTCGGTCCCAGGACTACGAGGCAGATCTGCCCGCAGACAGACAGACAGACAGGGCCAACGCGCCGGCCTTGCAGGTGAGAGTGAGAAGGATGCTGGCAGCCGAAGGCAGCCGCGGCGCGCGGCGGAGCCACGGAGGCGTCCCCGGCGTCCTTGACGTCCTTGACGTCCTCGGAGAGGATTATTATTTGGAGCCACTCTGCGAAAAAACCTCACAACTTATGTTGAGCGCGACTGTACTCACTTGGCCACATGACTGTCTTGATGTACTTCGCTACACGACTTTATTTCTCGCACGCTTACGGAGTAATTTCCCTGCTTTGCTCGGAATACTTTAAAAGGGCTTTACTGATAGGCAAGGTTTTAAGAGTGCAGGGCGGAGGAACCTTCGTCCTGAAAACTCGTCTCTCACTCGACACACTTGCCCCCATATCTGTGGCACTACAAAGTCGCTAGGTGTTGAGGTGTTTACTAGGTCTGGAAGTAGACCTGGAGATACGTTCCTATGAACCGGCTTGTCCTTAGCGCAAAAGAAGTGTCGGCACAGTACGGCGGATCGTTGTTAGATAGGTAGGAGTTGTGCGTCGCCTAGAATAAACTGAGATAATAACTGAATGTGACATCTAAAACGTTTCAAGGACTCATTGCCAGGATAGTGTTGACGACTCTACGCAGATCGCTCTCAAGATAGGTCCGCAACTTTGTGCGCGAGATTCACCGACATGCAACAAACATGCCGTGACTCGTTTAAAACGATTATATACAAAAAAAGAACAATGTCCGGTTTCCTTTCTTCTTTTTTCGACACATTTTCCACAAGGCCTAGTCCGCGCGGACGGCCGGCGGTCCATGCCGGCCGGGCTGCTGAATGGAAGAGCGAGAAGCAGCTGACCTTCCCCGCTAATAAAAGTAAAGTCGCGAAAACGGAATTATTTTGGCGGAGCACTGCGGTTCCAGTATAACACCACTGACCCACAACTAAAAATCTGAAACCGATCAGAAAAATACGTAAAAATGTGTGCAGAGAATGCCCTTCTCGATGACAGGCGTGGTATTTGCGGACTCTCTGCTAGTGTTTCCAGTGCAACGTCTCTCGCGGAGTGTTGCGTAGGGGTGCGAGAGAGACAGAGCGATGACCAAACAACTCGGAAACCGCTCTGACGTCGCTCCGACGGTCGCGTGGACGCCTGGCAATGCCAAAAGCCACTCCGCGACCTGTTCTTCGTTCCTTGGCGAGGAAATAATCAGCTGGACGGCAGTCGCTCTGTCTCTCTCGCTCCCGTGCGGGACGCTCCATGAGTGCGAGAGGGACGGAACCCACTCCAGTCCGCTGCGCGTTTTGTCCTCGGCTGTAGATATTGTTGCACCCACTGCGCGCTGTTCACACGATGACGTCATATTGCGTCTAAATTATCGCCTCGCAGTGTGGTGGCTGCACTGACTGGCTGCTAACAGTGGTGTCGCGTCCCCGAGGCAGGCTTCACCGAGTCAGCAACACGCTGCATCTTGGCACACTCTCCGAAAAAAATGAAGTGACTAAGAGGATTTACTTCGATACTTTTGGCCTTATTGGTAAAATCTGCATAACGTGTAAATTATCTGTTAATGTGTAACAAAAATTCCGACAGTGTACGAGTGAGTTATTTGCCTTCCCGGGCAACCTCGCGCGCATAGGAAGGATAGGAAGCATCGGAGACGCAGTCGTTGGCCGTTTTTTGCTGCCGGTCGGGTCGAAGGTGATGCTAATAGTCACGGTTATTGGGGCCCTGGCCGTGGCCGGGAGGACCGGCCTAGATCATCGCTCTCTGTCCCACTTGCTGGTGAGGCCCGGCACAGTGGGCCAGAAGACCGGTAGAGGCGGCCACAACTCTGGACGCGTTTTGAGCTCCATAGTCGCTAAATGGGACTCGAACCGAACGTGTGACCCCTCCAATGGATTCCTCGTTCGGAGAGCAATCCATTGGTGGGGTCACACGCTCGGTTCGAGTCCCATATTTAGCGACTCTGGAGCTCAGAACGCGTCTGGAGTTTTGGCCACCTCCACCGGTCTTCTGGCCCACTGTGCGGCGTTCGACAAGTCTCGAGTCTTGGATTCCTGATCGCTACAGAGGGAATCCCCGCGTGCCCCCTGCCCCCGCCCAGTCGGCCTGCCTCCTGGCTGCCGAGGTGCCGGGCCTGGCGGAGGCCCGCGATGACGTAGTCAGCACGCTCCATCCGCGCCGGCTTATCGCCAGCCAAGTTATTCCCCGCGCGCATTGTAACTTGACAGCCAGGCGGACGGACAGACAGACGGACAGACAGACAGAGGGACTGCCTGCCTGAAGGGCGCTCGGACAGTGAGTCAGTCAGCAGTCGGTTCAAATGTCACCAAGTCCGCCCTGGCTCTCCTGGTTTTCCTGCAGCCACACACAGCCCCCCCCCCCCCCCCCGGACGGCGACGTATCAGTCTTGTTTGCAGCGCGCGGGGCCCAGCGGCGGGAGGGCGGCACCACATCACTTAGGAATCTTATAAAATGAATGCCCGGTGAATGTTTCAGTAGTGCGGCGGATGAAATGTGCGCGTCGCCCCACTGTACACTGTACAGCACATACACTATGCAGCGGCGGCGTCTGCGCTTGAACTTGCGGACAAGCGGATGCTCGCCGCTCGCCTGACCCGATAAAGCAGTGGTGCAACCCAAGTACCAGTGTCGGTGACGTCCACTTTTGGAATACGAAGTGCGTTTCAGACGTCCGACCCGCCCTTTCACCAGGACACTTCACCGAGTTTATCGCGAGGAAACCTCGAGTCCCTCGACGCGGACGCAGGCCGCAGGCTTCACGTCGCTTCACGTGGGGCTCTAGTTAGAGCTGCGTCGTCTGGCGCGATAGCGTCCAAAGGGTTGCCAACCTCGCGGGCGTGGGCGTGACCGGCGACGCAGTGTTGCCATAGGAGTAGGCATCACTTGATGCACCGGTGTCATCGGAAGGGTTCCCAACCTCAGCCTCAGCCTGCCTACTAGGCAAGTCCTCGAGAGCAAGGCCCAGGCTGGGCGCAAGGCTGATGTTGGCAACCCTCCCGACTCACAGTGGGCCAGAAGACCGGTGGAGGCGAACAAACCCCTAGACGCGTTTTGAGCTCCAGAGTCGCCAAACAGGCCTCGAACCGAACGTGTGACCCCACCAATGGATTCCTCGTTCGGAGCTCAAAACGCGTCTAGAGTTTCGTGACACTTGACCGATCCCCAGGCTCCGCGATGGTGGCGGTCGCTAACCACTGTGTCTCTGCCGCAGGTCCATGGCGCTGCTGGAGCTGGTGCCCCTGCTGGGGGGCGCGGCCGTCCCCAAGGCCCTGCAGGGCGCTGAGGCCGCCGACGCCGCCGACGCCGCGCAGCCCGTGGGGTGCCTGGCGTGCGGAGAGCGGCTGCCGTCGGCGCGCGCCCTCGTCACGCACCTGGTGCGCAGGCACTTCCGCGGCTCGCCGTTCCCGTGCCCGTCGTGCGGCGCGGCCGTGCTCACGGTGCGGCAGCTGCAGCACCACCTGCGTCGCCACGCCGGCGAGCGGCTGCACCCGTGCTCGCGGTGCGCGCGGCCCTTCGCCACGGCGTCCAGCCTGCGGCGCCACGAGCGCCTGGGCCGCTGCGCCGACCGCCACGCGTGCGCGCGCTGCGGCCGCTCCTTCGCGTCGGCCGCGGCGCTGGCCAAGCACGCCCTGACGCACGAGCCGCGGCGCCGCAAGCGTGGCGGCAAGTGCGCGGCGTGCGGCACCCGCTTCGCCGTCCTCGCCGAGCTCTACGCCCACGAGCGCTCCATCCACGACCGCTACCGCACCTACGCCTGCGATCTGTGCGAGCTCGCCTTCTCCCGGTCCGCGTCGCTGCTCAAGCACCTGCAGCGCGCGCACGCCACCACCACCGCCTCCAGGCTGCACCTCGCGCACCACGCCGCGCCGCTCACGCCGCCGCCGTCGCCGCCGCCCTCCACCAGTGCAGCGCCCGAGCGCCCCGACGACCTCGAACTGACGGCCTTGGCCTCTGCAGAGCAGCCAGCCCTGGAAACCCCGAGCACCCCGCCAGCGCCCCCGGGACCCGCCGAACCTGCCAGTCTGGCGCCTACACTGCAACACCACGGCGTGGGAAACCTGCCGCCAAAGAAGCGAGGACGACCGCGGAAGTCAGAGCAGAGAGACAAGTCAGCCCCTGCACTGCAAAACTGTGAGACAGACAATCCACCACCAAAGAAGCGCGGACGACCAAGGAAGTCCGAGCAAAGGGACAAGTCAGTGCAGAGGGACCAGTCAGAGAAAAGGGACAAGTCAGAGCAGAGGGACAAGTCAGCCCCTGCTCTGCAAAACTGTGAGACAGACAATCCACCACCAAAGAAGCGCGGACGGCCACGGAAGTCCGAGAAAAGGGACAAGTCAGTGCAAAGGGACAAGTCAGCGCAGAGGGACAAGTCAGAGCAACGGGACATGTCAGCCTCTGCACTGCAAAACTGTGAGACGGAAAATCCACCACCAAAGAAGCGCGGACGGCCACGGAAGTCCGAGCAGAGGGACAAGCCTTGCAGTGAGAAGCAGCGGGAGGGGCCAGGGCAGGACCCTCTAGAGGCGCTGCGCCTGCCGGGGTCGGTGCCTCCGGAATCCGCCGGACCTTCGAGTCCGGCCGCGTCGCCGCACGGGACGGTGCACTCGGCGCCGAAGAAGCGCGGCCGGACTCGGAGGCCCGAGCAGAGCGACAGGCGGTGCAATCCGCGACTCAGCGTCAAACTGTTCGGCAAGCCCGCGGAGACGCGCCTGGAGAAGTGGAGGCGCTACCAACTGGTGAGGAGACAGAGTCTGGAAATGCGCCGCCTGGCCGCGCCGATGTGCCTGCCACTGCCTGCGAGCCTCGCGCCGCCCGTCCGACCCTCGGCCCGCGCCGACGACGCCCTGGGAAGCCCGACTCCGAAGAAGCGAGGACGTCCACGGAAGTCCGAGCAAAGTGGAATGCCGAGTGGTGCAAAAGGCCCCAAGCACACTGCCAAACTGAGTGCAAAACCAAGTGGCAAGCCGAGGAAGCAACTCGGTGAATCAAACGGCAGGCCGAGCATGAAGAAAAGTCCGAAGCTCGACCGCAAGTTGAATGCGAATCCCTGTGTGAAACTCAGTCGGCTCAACAAGAGACGCATGGAGACGTTAATCGGTACTGAATTTCCAGAAAAGAGTCCTTCAGCGCCGTCAGGCCCTCCACAGCCTGAGCCCGAAGTCCCCGACCGTCCACAAGAACCAGCAGGGCCCTCAAGCCTGGCCCCGGAGCTGCACGACCCAGCGGCTGCAATGGAACACTCGCCACCAAAGAAAAGAGGACGACCACCAAAGTCTGAGAAAAATCACATGCAGCCAAGTAGCAAGCAAGACTTGAAGAGGAGCCTGAAAATCAGCAGCAAACTCAACGCAAAGCTGTGTGTCAAACTGATCAGCAAGCCGACGAGGAAGAAGCTGGAGAAATTAAGGGGCGTGAAAAATCTGAAGACAAGGCTAAGCGGGGATAAAGAGTCCAGTGTGAAACTGATCGGCAAGCAAACTAAGAAACATCCAGGCATGCCAAATCTGGAAGGGAGCGAGGAAACCCTAAGCACTCCTGCAGTGCCCAGCCCTCCTGGATTGGTCCTTGCTGGTTCGGAGTTTCCCGAAGTCGCCAGACTACAAAATGTGGCTCTCGCAACGCAGCCCGAAGGGTCGGAAAACTCGCCGCCGAAGAAGAAGCGAGGCCGGCCACGCAAGTCGGAGCGGCGCGAGGTATCGAGCGTGCAGGCAGAACTTGGCGGCAAGCCGACCAGGGGGCAGCTCGATGACAGCGCGAGTGGCAAGCAAACTCCGGGGAAAAGGCCCAAGCTGAGCGGAGAGCAGCGAGCCGCGACGCGTGTGAAGCTAAGCGGCATGGCGTGTCCGAAGCAACTCGGCAGACTAAGCGGCCCGATGGCTGGAAAGCCGAGCGAGAAAGCCCAAGGCAAGCGGAGAGGCCAAGCGTTCCAGCCGCTTGGCAGCGTGCAGGGCCTGGCGAGCGGCGCGCGAAGCGGCTCCAAGAACGGCCTCAAAGTCGGCGTGCGGAGCGGACCCAAGAGTCGAGTCAAATGGGGGTGCGCAGAGTGCGGCGCGCAGTTCGCGCTGGAGTGGTCCCTCAAGGGACACTTACTTCGCACCCACTTACAGCACGCTCAGTTAAGCGTGCGTTAGCGTGTAGTTTGTGTTGTTATTGTTGTAAGTGTGTGTGTGAGTGTCGTGTGTATGTGGTGATACTGTGTTCAGAGAGACACTTTTGCTGTGAAATCATTATGAAAACCCATAGGCTGTGATGTTATGTCCACGATCGTGTTTTGCAATTCATGTATTCTGTTTCTTTTGTACTTTGACAGTTTGTACACATTAAATGCACGTGGTGCGGACTCATCTTAATTTTACGGCTACAGTGGTTCTCCTTTCCTTGTCCTTTTTTTACTGCTAGTGAACATCACGACAAAAGTAAACAAAGGTAAAATTATCACAATTTCCTTAGATTACAATAAATACTGCGATAGACTCGTGAAGAGTACATTGCACAGGTTTGAAAATAAAAATAAAACTACAGAGTGGTCGTGAACACTTTCCTGCGGCATGCTCGTAGGGGAACTGAACTATCAGATTTGAATTCAACTACTTCGTGATCTAAATAGTGGTCTAAATGAGATTCACACGGCGATATTGCAAGTCGACCGCTCTTGGCATCGCCCCTCGATCGACATTGGAGTTACCTCACGCCGTCTGAGCTTTTTTCGCCAACTTCAAAAAATAAATAAATGCCGTCAATGTCATTTTTTCGCAGTATACACAGTCCTCGGGGGGGGGGACATCAGAGCAGCCTCATTCTCAGACCGGCATAAGTAGGCTTGGGTTCGCGCTTCCAAATGACCTCAGCGCCTGTGACATTCGGGGTAGGCCGTGCCGCTACACAGGCTCATTTGACGGGTTGCCTACCCGCAGCCAAGCGCCTGTGACATTCAGGCTAGGCCGTGCCGCTACACAGGCCCATTTGACGGGTTGCCTACCCGCAGCCAAGCGCCTGCGACAGCCAGGTTAGGCCGTGCCGCTACACAGGCCCATTTGACGGGTTGCCTACCCGCAGCCAAGCGCCTGCGACAGCCAGGTTAGGCCGTGCCGCTAGGCCCATTTGACGGGTTGCCTACCCGCAGCCAAGCGCCTGCGACAGCCAGGTTAGGCCGTGCCGCTACACAGGCCCATTTGACGGGTTGCCTACCCGCAGCCAAGCGCCTGCGACAGCCAGGTTAGGCCGTGCCGCTACACAGGCCCATTTGACGGGTTGCCTACCCGCAGCTTAGCGCCTGCGACAGCCAGGTTAGGCCGTGCCGCTACACAGGCCCATTTGACGGCTTGCCTACCCGCAGCTTAGCGCCTGCGACAGCCAGGTTAGGCCGTGCCGCTACACAGGCCCATTTGACGGGTTGCCTACCCGCAGCTTAGCGCCTGCGACAGCCAGGTTAGGCCGTGCCGCTACACAGGCCCATTTGACGGCTTGCCTACCCGCAGCTTAGCGCCTGCGACAGCCAGGTTAGGCCGTGCCGCTACACAGGCCCATTTGACGGCTTGCCTACCCGCAGCCAAGCGCCTGCGACAGCCAGGTTAGGCCGTGCCGCTACGCAGGCTGGTCCGACGGGGTGCCTATCGGCTCCAAGCCAGGCGCCAGGCCACATCGAAAAATCAGCCTGCCGGCCAGACAAAGTCTCGGCTTCACTCCAACAGAGTCCAGGTCGACGACGGAGCTCGGCGACGTCCTTTCCGGTCGGACATCACACAGTGTTCTGTCTCGGAAGACACAGCGATCTCTCGCATTCAGTTCTGCAATGTGCGTTTGGGTTGGTTCGCCGCTACGCCGCTGGCGGCGCTGCAGGCGCTGCGGTCGTCCTCTGCGCGGCGCGTCGCTCCTCCAGCGCGGCCTTGTACGCCTTCCAGGACACCGCGTGGAAGCCGCCCTGGCCGTCCGCCAGCAGGTACTTGCCGTCCTCCGTGCGGGCGCCTTCCTCGCGCGGGCCCTGCAACCCACACTGTTAGACCCCCTGCTGGACTTCCGTTTTCAACTCATTTCCTCCGGCCGATGGCTCACCTGGCGCTGCCCCTGCCGCTGCTTGTGCGGCTTGCCTCGCCGGGGGCCTCCGGGGCGCCGGCGGACCGCGCGCTGCGTGCTCCACGTCGTGCTGCTCGCGTCCAGCGGGGCGCTCGTCGACGTGCTGCTGCTCGCGGTGTCCGAGGCCGTGCTGGACGAACTGTCCGTGGCGGCGGTCACCGTCGTCGGCGTCCTCGGCGTGGAGGTCGCGTCGACACTGGTGTTCGCGGCCACCGCCGCGCTCACCGCGATGCTGTTGGCCTCCACGCCGGGCAGGCCGTTGCTCGCCGTCAGGCTGTTGTCCACGCTGGTGGCGTTGTTGGCGTTGTCCGCGAGGAGGCCCTGGATGACGCCGGGCAGCGCGTTGGGCTTGGCGCGCAGGTGACGGCTGGGGTTCTTGTTGCAGCGGAAACCCCTCCGCATGGCGTCGTAGACGGACCAGCCCGCGTACCTGCCAGACGAGGACGGCGGAATAATGTTGAGTTTGCGCGCCGCACCATGGGCCAGAAGACCGGTGGAGGCGGCCAAAATCCCGGATGCCTTTTGAGCTCCACAGTCGCTAATTGGGACTCGAACCGAACTTGTGATCCCACCAATGGATTGCTCTCCGAACGAGGAATCTATTGGTGGGGTCACACGTTCGGTTCGAGTCCCATTCAGCGACTCTGGAACTCAAAACGCGTCCGGGATTTTGGCCGCCTCCACCGGTCTTCTGGCAAACCCACTGTGCGTGCCTCCAGACCAAAGCAAATTAAAAGTTCCCCGAATACTCACGGCTCTGGAGTGGCGCACGTCGGCGCGGCCCGCTTATCGTACACGTAGCGGCCCTCCCGTTTGTCCTGCCGAGCAAAAGGGACCAAAGGGACAAGCGTTAGTGTCCGAACACGCGCGGGCCTGCCGGGCCTGCAGGGCCCCGACGCGAACATCGATTCTACTTCATGCCTTTTTGGCACCGTTTTCGGCCCCCTAACCGAATTCGTCACGCGAGACGGGTCGATGCGCTGCCCCGCTGTCCCCGAAAGGCGCAACCCAAACAATGACCCTTTTCGCTGTCCGGTTAGCCGCCATCACTCAGAGGTCGTTTTTGGCCGTCTGTGCACTGCGACCCATTTTCACACTCTCTTGGCTTAATCTAATGCACTGGAAGGAAAAAAATTACTGAAAAAGCACGGGCAACGCCTGGTCTACAACTCAACCCGAGCGTCCCTACATCACCTACTGCGGAAGTTCCGAACATGATTTCCGGAATTTCAACTTTGGAGGTGTTACAAATTTAATTCTATTTTAGCTTTGATGGACGTGGTGTTGATCCAATTCGAGCCTTCCCCCGGGCTGTCCGAGGCCGACGAGGTGGACGAGGCGGGACCAGCCTGCGTTGTCGTCGACCTGTATTATTCACGAAGCTCTCCAAGACCGGCTGGGCGGCGGAGTGCCGAAGCGCCGAAGCGCCGGAGCGGCTATCAAATCGATCAGGTCTAACGACGATAACCGAAAACAAGCTCGCCCCCTCCCCCTCTCTACCTCACGCGACCGGCCCCACCTGTTCGGCGCCGGCGCCGCTGTCCGGCCCTAGCCCCTATTTTGGGGTGTAATCGTGTCCCTCTGATTCCACGATTCCCATCATTGGTCAAAGTCAATTTCCAATCCAATTCGGAATCCGAGGCACTGTGCAGTCAGTGCACTGCAGTGCTGCCGTTCGTCGTAGGCGAACGTACCCACAATGCACAGTGGGCCAGAGGACTGGTGGAGGCGGTCAAAATCCCGGACGCGTTTTGGGCTGCAGAGTCGCTAAGCAGGGCTCGAATCGAGCGTGTGACACCACCAATGGATTGCTCTTCGAACGAGGAATCCATTGGTGGGGTCACACGCTCGGTTCGAGTCCCATTTAGCGACTCTGGAGCTCGAAACGCGTCCGGCGTTCTGGCGGCCTGCGCCGGCCTCTGGCCCAGAGTGCTACCTTGTTGGTGGCGGCGGGGTTCCAGGCCGCCATGTCGCAGGAGCACTGCCAGGGGTTGCCGTCCAGGCGCACCATCTTGGCGGGCACGTTGTCCAGCAGGCCGGGCGGCAGCTCCTTGAGCTGGTTGCCCGTCAGCAGGAGCTCCTTGAGGCTGCCCTGCTGGTCCAGCAGGTTGGGCGGCAGCGCGCGCAGCAGGTTGTGGCTGAGGTCGAGCTCCCGCAGCGCGAACAGGGCGTAGAAGGCGTCCATGGACACGTGGCGGATGCTGCAGTGGCGCAGCAACAGCCGCTCCAGCTTGGGCACCTCGACGAACGCGTCGTACGGCAGCGAGGGCACGACCCCCGTCAGCGTGAGCTCCTTGAGGCGGGGCATGCCGCGCAGCAGGTCGCGGTGCATCCCGGGGGCGGTCACGTCCGTGGCCACCAGCCTGCGCATGGCGCGCAGCCCCAGGAACATGTCCTGGTGCAGCTGCAGCGCCGTGCCCGTGCCGCCCAGCAGCAGCGTCTCCGTCGAGTTCATCACCTGCATCATCAACATCATCATCATCGTCAGCCGTCGGTCAAACATGCCTATATTTTTACTGAATTCAATACTTTTATTGAGGTTGGTCGCCGGTCTTTTGACGCACAGTGGTCTTCCGATCCACTGTGGCCGCTCACCTGGAACGTGTTGGTGAACACCGACTCGATGGGGTTGGCCCGGAAGTCGGCGCCGCGCAGCTTGGGGAAGGGCGGCAGTGACAGCTCGGACAAGTGCGTGAGGTTGTTGTGCGACATGTCCAGGAAGCGCAGCTCCAGCAGCCCCACCAGTGCCGTGGAGGACACGTCGAGCAGGGAGTTGTGTGCCAGCGACAGGTAGCGCAGGGCGGGCGCGCCGTACAGCGACCAGTCGGGCACGAAGGCCAGCCTGTTGTGCTCCAGGGACAGCACCTGGGGCCGAGGGACAGTGTGAACGGGGTGGATCCGGTTTTGGACCCGAACCGAGCGTGTGACCCCACCAATGGATTCCTCGTCCGGAGAGCAATCCATTGGTGGGGTCACACGTCCGCTTCGAGTCCCATTTAGCGACTCTGGAGCTCAAAACGCGTCCGGGGTTTCGGCCGCCCCCACGGTCTTCCACCCACCTGGAGGCTGTCCAGGCCGTTGAACATCTCCCAGGCCAGGTTGACCAGGTCGGCGTAGTGCAGGCGCAGCATCAGCAGCTGGTCCAGGCCCTCGAAGGTCCGGAGCGCGTTGACGCGCCGCAGCTCCGTGAACTTGGAGAAAGACACGACCTCGGCGGGCTTCAGGAACACCAGCTCGGGGGTGTCCTCGCTGTGTGCGGAGCAAAGCCCGTTAGCAGTGTACCTACCCTTGCTGGCGCCGGCGGAGGGACTTGCCCCCTGCCCCTACTCCCTACTCTCACCTTTGGTCATCGGTTCGATACGCCCAGGGCGGCAGGCGCCGTCGGCGCGGTCTAAGTGGCGGCGGCGTCGTCACGATGACCTCGTTGTCGTCGTCCAGCGCGCCTGCCAGACAAGACGACACGCCTTTACACCACCTGGTGCATCTTGTGGGGGCCACACTGTACGAACGCAGAGCAAAACTCCCCGCACAGTGGATTTGCCAGAAGACCGGTGGAGGTGGCCAAAACTCCAGACAAGTTTTGAGCTCCAGAGTCGCTAAATGGAACTCGGACCGAACGTGTGACCCCACCAATGGATTCCTCGTTCGGAGAGCAATCCATTGGTGGGGTCACTCGTTCGGTTCGAGTCCCGTTTAGCGACTCCGCAGCTCAAAACGCGTCCGGAGTTTTGGCCGCCCCCGCCGGGACTCGAACCCAAGACTCGCCTTCCAGCTGCACGCCGGTGAGCGACAGCAGCCGCAGGTGCGGCAGCGTGCGCAGCGAGTCGCTCTTGAGGTGCACGGCGGCCTCGGCGAAGGCAGTCACGTCCAGGGAGACGAGGCCCTCGAAGCGGGACAGGTGGCCCGCCGTCACCACGATGGCGGCCTCGTCCGCGCTCTGTAGCAGCGTCAGCGCCTGCCAACCCACCGCACACCGCAGTTAGTGGCCAATACAACGAAAAAAACAACAACAAGAAAGAGCTGGAACCAGTGCTGTTGGCTTAACTCACCCTTGTCGAAACGGTTGCCAACCCCAGCTTGCCTACCAGGCAGTTTCTTGAGATCAACGCCCAGACACTGCCTAGTGGACAGGCTGAGGTTGGCAACCCGTCCGACACTGGTGCATCACACAGTGGGCCAGAAGACCGGTGGAGGAGGACAAAATTCTAGACGCGTTTTGAGCCCCAGAGTCGCTGTACAGGACTCGAACCGAACGTGTGACCCCACCAATGGATTCCTCGTTCAGAGAGCAATCCATTGGTGGGGTCACACGTTCTGTTCGAGTCCCATTTAGCGACTCTGGAGCTCAAAACGCGTCTAGAGTTTTGTCCGCCTCCACCGGTCTTCTGGCAAATCCACTGTGCATCGCGGCGACGCCGGCAGTGCGGACTGACAGGACTGACCTGCGTGTCGGCGGGCAGGGTGGCGATGACGTCCTCGAACACGTCGGAGAGGATGACGCACACGGCCTGGCGCACCACGCGCGCCCCGTCCACGTCGGAGCGCAGCGGCTCCTCGGCCAGGCTCAGCTGGAAAACCCGGAAACAACGGTTTTCTCGAGGGAAATCGGAAACGCAGAGGGAAACTGATGGCCAAAACCGCGGTGCCGACGACACCGTGGCGTGTTGACGGGCACCGCGGAGTACTCCCAGCGCACGTGGGGCATCGCGAGCACCGCGCGCACCGCGCGCACGCAAGGCCGGAGTATGTTGCGCTTCCCACTTACACGCACACACGCACACGCACGCACACACACACACACACGAGCACATACGCACGCGATCGATACTCACGTGGTGGGCGTGGATGGCCAGTAGCCTCCGCAAGGGCACCTCCTTGAACGGGCCCTCCCTGCAGGTGCACACTTCCGGGCAGCCCAGTCCCCAGGGGGAGTCGCCGGCGTCGCCGGAGCCCTCCAGCAACTCGGTCTCCAGCGCCTGCCTCTGGACAAAGGCACCGACGTCAGCGGGGAGGCTTCACACAGTGGGCCAGAGGACCGGTGGAGGCGGCCAAAACTCCCGACGCGTTTTGAGCTCCAGAGTCGCTAAATGGGCCTCGAACCGAACGTGTGACCCCACCAATGGATTGCTCTCCGAACGAGGAATCCAGGTGGAGTCACACGTTCGGTTCGAGTCCTGTTTAGCGACTCTGGAGCTCAAAACGCGTCTCGAGTTTTGGCCGCCTCCACCGGTCTTCTGGCCCACTGTGGAGCGGTCCGTGGGAACGTGGCGGGCGACAGGCGGCCGACGGCGTGGTCCACCTTGACGTGGCGGGGGTGGCCGACGTGGAGGCGGTGGTGGCCGTCGAGGGCCCGCACCGAGGCCACCGCCAGCAGTGCCGACGCGGCCGCCAACGCGACCCTCCACATGATGCCGGCGGGGAGCTACTGCGCGGGGGCGGGACTGGGGCCGCCTCCGCCGGGTCCTCGTCGCCGTCGTCGTCGTCCTGGCGGCGCGCGACTTCCGTCTCCCCCACCCCTTTTGCTTCCAGTGGCCCTCACTCCACCAGTCTGCCCCTGGTCCTCCCTGGACCGCATCCTGCCCCACCTGGTCCTCACCAGTCAAAACTAATTGTCTCCCCACCTGATCACCCCCTTCCACTCTTCCCGTGATTCGCCCGAGTGTCGCTGCCGTCGCTCTGTCTCTCTCCCCCCTTTAGGGGACGCCCCATGAGTGGGAGAGAGACAGACTCTCAGAATCAGTCCGCTGAACAGTGAACACGCCTCAAGGGGCCACCCGCCGGCCCGCCGGCCTGCAGGAAGTGCTGCTGATAAAATGCCCCCGCCCTGCCCCCTCCCCCTCCCCTCTTCCTTCCCAATATCGTTCATTGCGTCGGCTCTGCAGGACCGCCGGCATCGGGTGACTTGCAGTGCAGGCAACGCCGAAAGCCCTCGCCTCGTTGCCGCCGAAGTACGTAGGCAAAGATCCGCGCGACGCTCCAGTGTTGACAGGTTTGCCAACCTCAGCCTCCTGCCTAATGGGCTGCCTCCGGGCTTTGCTCTCCCCGCCCCCTCTCTCCAAGTATGCTTCTAAAAGTACGTGTCGTCACGCAGTGTTCTGGTGTCTTTTCTCGGGAAGGGTCTCATGTGAAATGAAAAGTAATGAAAAGTAAAGCTGTGAACTTATAACTATTATCTTTATTATCACCAAAGTCGAAAATTAAGAACATCGTCGTGAAATCAAGTGCGCCGTTCGTGTCCTTGACACCCACAAGGCCCATGCCATTTGCTATCTATGTAACACCCAAGTACAGTCGATACAGTAACACGCCTGCAGCGGGCGGCGCGCGCCGAGCACGCCGTGGTCCTCCCAGTCGTCGTCGCCTAGCACGCCGTGGCGGACGCGGTCTTGGCCTCGTCCTCCTCAACCAGGGCCTCGTCCACCTTGCGGCGCCGCTTGGCGAGGGCGGCCTTGAACTCGGCGGAGCCGATGGTGCTGAACTGCAACAACAACAACAGAGCGCCGAAAGTTAGCCAGCTCGAACGCGGCGCGCTCGGAACACGGCTCGGCAGCATGCCCTTCCACCCTTCACCTTGTTGATAGCACGCTGCTTCAGGAGCTGCGAGTGTAGGCGACTGATGGTCCTCCGGTCCTCCACGTTCTGCAGCAGCTTCGTCAGGTCGTCCTTCTGGAGGGTGAGCAGCGTGCCGGCCTCCAGCCCCGACAGCAGTTGCACCGCCCTGAGGGAGCAAGACGCGTTCTGAGCTCCAGAGTCGCTAAACGGGACTCGAACCGAACGTGTGACCCCACCAATGGATTCCTCGTTCGGAGAGCAATCCATTGGTGGGGTCGCACGTTCGGTCCGAGTCCCGTTTAGCGACTCTGGAGCTCAAAACGCGTCCGGGGTTTTGTCCGCCTCCACCGGTCTTCCGGCCCACTGTGCGTTGCCGCTACTCACGCCGGCTGCAGGCCCTTGATGGTGAGCCAGTCCATGACCTCCTGCTTGGAGGCCTTGGGGCTGAGCGGCACGTCGGGGGTGCGCACGATGTCCAGCTTGGGCGTCTGCGAGAGGCGCTGCATCAGCTCCAGCTGCACCCGCTGCAGCTCGTGCGCCGTCATCTCGTCTGCGCAAAGCGTCGCATCAGCACGGCGCCCTGTCTCTCTCGCACCCACCCAATGGGACTACCGTCACTCACTGATGGGCCGGCCGAAGACCTCGCTGTCCTGCGGCGTCGTCGGCGTCATGGGCGGCGTGAGCGTCGGCGTGTCGCTGGTGGAGCTGGTGGACCTGGCCAGCGCGGCCGGGGTGCCCAGAGGCGTGCCCAGAGGCGTGCCCGGGGGGCTGGTCCTCAGCTGCAGCACCACGTTGCGCCTCGCGTTCACGGGGGTGGGGCTCGGCGGGCCCCCCGGGGAGCCGGGCATCGGAGGGGGCGGCGGCGGCATGGGGATCTGCGGCAGCGCCGGCCTCGCTGGGGAAGCAGCGTCACGTGGTTAGTGGACCAGCGCGTCAGTCTCTCTCACTCACTTTTCTCTCTCTCTCACTCACTCACTACTGTGACGGGCACTTTCAGATCTCAGCGCGTCCCGCTGTGCATGTGCAGCCCAATGCGATGGGTTGCCTGCCTAACGGGCGCGTCGCGCTCTGCTGTGTCGCAGTGTCCAAAATCACCTCAGGCTTCCAAACCCGTTTGATTGTAAAGGCCACATCCTGTTGTCTGAGCGCGCCCTTTTAGTTTCCTAACAAGTCTTCCCAAAAATGTAAAAAAAAAGTCCAGTTTTCTAAAAAAAAATAAAAAATTTGCTATATGTACTTTTGAGTCTTCCCTGGTTGTTCATCAAGTCGGTTTCACTCAGATAAAAAGGCACCTTATCACTTAAATTATCACAAAAGTGGACATGACGGAACAAAGCGGACACAACACTTATCGAAACAACACCCTGAAAGCGTTTTGATGGACGGTGGATGGCAAACGGATCAATGAATAAGCAGCAGAGACAAACGTGATGAGATTCAGTATGGATTTATTGAAGTATGCAGGATATATTTCGGGGTCAGTGTTAAACTATACAAACACCAAGCAACATACATCAATTTGCATAGCACTCTGGCAATCTGTTATATACATAATATGTATAGTATGTAACATCTTTGGAATACCTACATTGGAAAGTGGAATTAAACAGGTATGTGTATGTACAATATCATTAAATTCTTTCTCTCCATGCTCAGGAATAACAAGAAAGTTCATAAGACAGGTAATTGCAAAATGGGCAAAGTAGAACAGTATATGCCACATCTGCTCTTATAACAAGATAGCACTCCATTCTAACAACACTACTGGTATGATTCATTATGTGGTAAATAGAGTTGAAAATGGAGCACACATAAAAATTCATGAGAAAGCAAGTAATTAATAACTCTTCAATTCTACAAAGCAAAGTGCTTCTGAGCATGGACATAGAATACATATTGTATATATATATATATATATTTATGTATATATGAGCAAATATTACTTTTTCAAACAACAACAACAACAATAACAATACCAAGCTTCTTGCAGGCAGCTTACAGTTTAACCAGTATTTCAAATACTTCATACACATTTGATATAAATAACAACACAAAAGCTATGGCTGAAGCACATTTTGAACAACTCTTACACTGTTGAAAAATATTTTGGTTTATTGCTTTAAAGCCAGATGGTTCACTTAATACTGAGGCTGTAGGTCATTAAAAATTCCATGGAAGCAACCATATACCTAAGTACATGTCAACTAAATAAATGCTAAAGACTCATTGAAATATCTTAAAATATGATGAGAATATGTAGTAAATTTGAAAGAAAGCACAAATCCATCAATTAAAACATTGTGATGGCCTAGGAAATCAGACAATTTCGTTGCATTCAGTCAGCACTTCTATATTGTCTATAATATTAACATTAAAATAAATATTATTCCCATAAACCACCTCCAATACTAGATGCGCGTAGATAGTTAAAGATCTCAAGAAAATTGGCACATTATGCTCATTTGCAAATTGAAAACGAAAAAAACAACTTTTTAAGTTCAACGCAGTCAACCCTTGCTTCTTTAGTCTTACAGCCCCTGCAGCCTGCAGCACAGCCAATATACGAATAACTGCCTACAATAAGTAAAATCTGGCTGCAGAAGTCACCTCTTTAAAGAGAAATAATTATCTTGAGTTGAGGTACATGTACTGGAATGTTTAACACAACATTCAACAGCAAAAGAATGAATTACACATGCGCTTGTTACATGTTAGATGCTTAGTGGAATTTGAAAAATGTCTTCAATATAGATATAATATCACATTTTATGTTGGAAAAATACTCCCCTCAGTACTGGTTAAGGGCAGTAAAAGGACGGAGATTGACACGTTAGCACAAAACTAAACCATTCAAACAAAAAGCAGGGACAACAAATAACGTACATGATGATTTAAAGGCACAATGAATACCACTTTTAAGCTCCATACTGCTTGTGTCAGAGAGGGTAATGAAAGGGCCCACATTAAGTAATGGATGATAAGGAAATGAAGAAAGTAGCTTCTATCATTTCCTTGTGATGAAACATTTTCTAGACAAAAGGCAAATTTGCATTAGCTCTTTTCACCTCCATAAGTCATCACTATTGCAATGACCAGTCTCCTGCTGCTTGAGATTTCTTTTGCTACCACTCCCTTAAACATCTGCCACTCATACGACTTATCCTTATGAAGTCATGTGGCACATTTTTGAAAGAAGGAAACACATTCCTTTAGAATGATTACGATAAAATGATACAGTATATCTAAGATATAAACCTTTCTCTGGAAAGGTATGACTATGACTTTAAATTATTTAAAATCTGTCCCCTGTCATATTTTAGAGGGATTCTCCATGACTTCACTGAATTTATAGCAGTGAAAATAGTTTTTGCTTGACGCTCATAAAATTTAGATACAATTTTACTTACTCTAACCATAGCATAGCAGTTACAGGCTTACGTCTTAGTTGTTTATGAAAATAATATACAGAAAATATATGTCAAGGTACATTTCTCATTGATTTACATGTCTTAAACAAGCATAAGCTTTGAAAAAATAAGGATTGTGTTTTCTCAACTGACTGAGCTTTGTACCCTTTGGCACTGAGAAAAGCAAATCCTTATAAATGTGAAAGCTCTCTTATGTTCAAAATATTATGTACTCAGCCATAAACCCTAATAATTAGACTAGCAACATCAATCTTCTCAGGCCTATACTAGCAGTTTTTGGAAAGAAAACAGAGAGTTGAATCCGGTTGAATCGGATGCTATACTTGAATACTTGGGCCATTCATCCACAGAGGTGTCCCATTCTCAACTTTCACAAAAGCATGACAGAAAAACAAGCAGGACAGAGCACAATAAACTGCTTCAGGACATGACAGACAATCCAAACAAAATGTTTGCTTCAAGAGATCAGAATCCATTTCATGTCTCAATGCACCAACATCATTGGTTACAAAACATTATTCAGGATAATGGATCTACAGTTGAAGCCTCAAATTGGTTTCTTTCAATGATTTAAAACTAAGTTTTGATCAAAAAATAATATTCTTCATATTTCTAAAATAGATTCTGGTTTCTCCATTAAAAATACCGAAATTCACCTTTTTTGCCTTGTCTTGCCTTTTCTTGCCTTTCAAAGTGGTGCCACTCAGGAGTCGCTGGAGGGGCAGCGGAGGGGGGTGAACTCCCATCTCGGTCCTGTGGGCATCAGCAATAGCGTCATGTCACTCCTGTCACTTCACCACGCTTCTCACTCTACTTAAAAATTTGCTCAGTATCGGTTTTCTGTCCAGCGCTCCTGCAATCAGAATGGTACTAAGCTTAAGTCTGTTTGGTCAAGGGAAATCCAATTTGACTTCCTTCCGAGGGACCTTATCTGTGGCCAGACAAGGCCAAAATTGCGGAATAGTTTTTCTAATTGTACCAGATTTTATGAAAGACTTACAGTGCGGTACTGCGGGGCGTACACGGGGTTACTGAATACTTCACTTGCCTCAGCAGCTGGAGGAGTAACAATAGTGTGAGGTACGTGAGCGATCTGACCGCGGCTGTTTCGTGCTTTCCACCATTTCCGGCTGTCATCTAAGATCTGCAAGCAAAAATATTATTAAATACATTAATATAATATTTATTGCAGAAACACTTGATGGAATCCTAGACGTTGTCACTTACTTCTAAGTATTCTCCTCGGATGACTGTCAGTTCCTTGTCGTTATTTGCAGTTCGGGGGTAGGTGACTTGAACTACTTTAGCACCCGTTGTTTTTAAATCTTGCAACCACTTAAACTGTGCCCTCTCGAACCGCTGCTGGCTGTCGGGCCCAGCGTGCCCCGGTCCACCAGCCATGGGGGGTCCCATTGGAACACTGCCGTTCCGCTCAATGGAATCAGCTGAAATGTCACTTCGGGCTGTGATATCTCTGTGGGGCAGTGGAGGGCCCGATGGGTAGTCTCGGTCTGAGCTCCCAGGGCTTTGCGACCTCTCCCTGGAAAATATATTTAGGAAACATTGTAACAAATGTGTCAAGATCAAACAAAGCATTCATGAGATGACAGTCAAATAAAGGAAAAGGCTCTACCTTTCATCCCTGCTGTAGCGTTTGGGCCGGTCCCTGTAGAAACGTGCAGAATCATTGGGCACTGCCTCTAGCTCATCATCAAAGTAGTCGCTGCCATAGTGCGGCTCATTGTCTCGACCATAATCAGCCTGCAATCAGACAATTGAGTTAGAAAATAGCAACATAAATAAGGTTTTGAGATGGATTTTCATTTTCTAAACAATATTTTTTAAAAGTGATCTTACATTTTGCTGAGCTGCACGAATCTCCTCAGCATGTGTCCTCTTGGCCTCCATTGAGGTGGAAGCATGTTCCCTCTCGTCTAAAACTGGGAATTCTGGAGACCAGCCGTCCATGAATAGGGGGTGATATGGTGCAACATAGCCTTTCCACTGGTCCCTGAAAAATAGGGAGAATGAAATGAAAAACAAAGAACAATGGAAAAGAAACATCAGCCTCCACATACATTATAATTTTTATTGCTTGAAAAAATTATCTGGCTTACCTGGGCACTAGCCAAGCATCTCCTAGTGAGTGCCACAGTTCAGTTTCTTTACTGGTGACACAGTTAATGAGAAGATTGACTGCTTCTCTCGTGAGGAGTGGTGAAACCACTTTGGCAGGCAGATTAGGCCCATAGTGAGTATCATGTGATGCATCAACAATCAGGGCAAGGGGAGTAAATAGGAAATGAACTAGTTCTGGAGCATTGGGGTCGTGTATGTGCGCCTTCAGCTTAGCCTGAAAACAATAAAAGATAAATAGCAAGCATTGCAAATTTACAGTGGAACCTTATAATTCATTAAAAAAATCTTATGGATTGATTTATACTCACAAGTAAATTGAAAGATAGTTTAAATTTCTGGAAAATATCAACAAATTCAACTTCTGGGGGTGGTTTGGCCCGCATTGTCAGCATTCCATCACCCATGTCCTTCTTCTTTGATTTACGGTTCCTGCAAGGACAGAGACATCACAGAAATAAAATTAAAATCCCTTTTTTACACAGCTATTAAATAGGTATCACAAAGGTTGACATACTTCCGTCTACGTTCTAGTTCTCTAGATGCTGCTGCGGCATGTTGAAGACGAGCAATAAACTTCTCAATGTCATCAAAACAATGATTTAAAATTATGACATCCCGCTCATACTTCTCACTGGATGTTGAGCTTGTTTCATCATTAAGTGACAATGTGGCAGGGTCTCTCCCGGTGGATTCCCTTGCTTCTCTGGGGAACACTTCAGCACCTAAAATTAAAATACAATTGAAGTATATTGGAAAAATGCTATGGCAGAACCAACACAAGGGTTCTTTCATTTTGTTACTTACGGTGAGAAGCTGCATTGAAAGCATTAACTTGCTCCCGAACATTTACTCCATTCAAAGGGGGCTCTGGAGGAGGGGTAGGTGGTGGTGGAGGGATGTTTCGGGTGCGGCGAGCTAATGGAGCCTTGCCCATTCTCAGATTTTTTAGGTCATCTACAAGTTCTTGGGCTGAAATACTCTGGCACTGGAAATAAAAAAATAATTTGATAAGTCCAGAGATATTAATATGCACAATTGTCAACAGAAAAAAGTTTGAGCACTGCATTTCCTACCTGGAAAATATGCATCTCAGAGCGAGAGTTGCTTGTCTTTTCATCACCAACTATGAATACCAAGATGTTGTTATAGATATCCATGGGGTCATTGCTTGTGAAGGCAGTGGGTTCTTGAATCAAGGCAACTGGGAATTTTTCCATTACAGCCTGTCAGAGAAGAAAAATAATTAAACCAGGGAGTTCTTAAAAATAAGAAGATAGCATTCAAAAATTATTCTTACGCCTGATTCATAGTCCATAATTAGAACCCAATTTTGGTCTAGTCGAAGCTGCATCTTCTGGCACCAAATTCCATTGGATGTCTCGAGTTCAAGAAGGCGTCTCATACCATCAGCAGGGTAAACTATTCCTGTTTCCTCTGATACAGTAAAAGTTGCCAAATGCTCCATAATGTAAGTGGGGGCAGCTTCATTTGACCCACTGCTGACCTCATTTGCACGGCCATCTGTCAAAATAATAAAATTGGTATTGAAGAAAACCAAAGGTGGGGGTACGTTACTTGCTTGATGTTGACTTTCACACCTGTTGAATAGCCATTGGAATGGACACTGCTACTTCGTTGGTATGGCATGTTGAATCAGTGTTGCTTGGCTCCTATGCCTGCAACAAAACGAAAACACTAATTTAAAAACGGTAGAACATTTTATTATTTCAAACAGGACAACAGGTGTCATTGAATAAGTAGGTCCTGATTCATAAAAATGAAAACTTTCGGACAAAATAAGTGTTTTAATATTTTTTTTCGGATTGACATGGCACACTGTTTCCCACGAAACTGAAGGATTTACTCAAAAACCGTTCAAGCAACTATATTTCAATAATAAGAATCGGCGACGCATCTCCAGGTGCCGACTAACCTCACCGAAGGAAACAACATACGCACTATTTCACTCTCTGCTGCCAGGGAGGCAGAAACCATTGAGAAATTTGAAGAGTCCGCTACCTAAATCCGTTCAAAGCCAATGGAATTTCCCGCGGCCGAGGTCTGTGACCCGGTTTGGCCTGGTCCACCTGTTGAACTTCGGTGGTTTATTTTCGGTCTGCTTACTGTGCCAGCGAGCGAGTAGCGGGTACTCACTCCACTCCAGTCCCCCCTCCCTCCCTTCCCCTGGCCTCCGGCACTTGCGTGCGCTGTCGTAAGGACCTGGAGCTGGAGCAGGGCGACCACTTCCAGGTTCCAGAGGCGCTCCCGCGGAGAGGCTAGCGAGAGCGGCACGGGAGCGGCATGAGAAATTCCTCGGCCCGCAGCCTGTTTTGGAGTATAGTACGTCGAGGAACGGGAGGGTCTCTAACTTTGCCGGGTCGACGTGACACACTGCAACCAACATTCCTTTCCCTTCCAGTGTGCTTGCAGCGCGCACATGAGCGACAATGAGAAACCCCGCCCGACGGGACGTGCGTATGGAAAGTCTGACGGCACCCGGACTTGAAAGCAGAAGCCTTGCCCAGCCCTGCCCCTTCCGCGAGGCGACAGCCGAAACCAAAACACTGCGGCCGGGCCGGGGCAGGCCGGGGTCGCTGGTTGGCTCACCATGGAACTCGCCTAGGCGTCTTCTCGTCGCAAGGTAAGAGAACAGAGGCCTGTCTCTGCCACGGCGCCACGGCGGGCCTCTCTCTCCACAGCCCCCTCGCGTAATCTACATGCTTTATCTCTGCTATCGATCTGATATGCTGCCTGCCGTCAGAAGGCAGGGCGGGCAGGGCAGCATGACGCGTACCGGGTTCTCGACTCGCTCGGCTTTTCCTGATAGGCCTCGTAAACAAACTGACACCGCGGCCTGCGGGGCCTGCGCCCTGCGGACGGGCCTCTGCCGTCAAAGCACTAGACAGAAGGTTGGCAACCCTTTCGACACTGGTGCCTTGGGTCCAGCCGATGGGCGTTGTCGATCCGTATGGTGTAAGCGTGCCGCGTGCCTCCGGAAGCAGGTTCTCCTTCCCATCAAGGGCTGCCTCGCCGCTTGCCCGGCTTGCCAATACAGGGAAGGGGAAGGCCCAAGACGAGGCGTGGGCACTGTCCCTTTCACTAGAAAAGCGGTGTGCCTATCGGCTTATTGGCCACTTCAGCCCGCCTCGGCCCGCCAGGGGGCGCAGCGTTCGGATCAAAGTCCCCAGTCGCCGAGGGGGAAAACGACAAAACGTACACTTTTCTTTCCCCCGCCCTTCCCGTTCTTGCAGTCACTCATTGTAGTTTCCTCGTCCGACGCAGTCGACGCAGTCTAACGCCTCGCCGGTGCGTTACCTAACCTGCGGACAATAAATAGCCAGCTATGCCGCCACGCCGGGCGTGCACTGTCGAAAAGGTTTTGTCGAACCGATGACGATTTATTTGATTTCCTACGCAGTAAATCACTGCAATCTTTTACAGTGTCGAGTAGTGCTTTCGAATTACAGCAGCGTGATCCGAAAGTCCGAAGGGCTGTTCAGTGTCGGTACGAGTTTGACGTCACCGACAATGAGTGACGCTGATTGGCCGACAGCGCGGGCGGCGCGGGCCCAATGGGTGGCCGTGAGCTTGCCGTGAGCTTGCCGCCGGAGGTGGCCGTTCATGAAGCGATGCTGTCCGATAGTGTGCCGCCAGATTCGATCGCTCTGCATAAGGTGGCCGAATGGCAGACAGGCCGCCCAGGATCCAGGCCAGGGTCTGAGAGTCTGGGAGCGGAGAGGGACTCTCCGTCTCTCTCTCTCTCTCTCTCTCTCTCTCTCTCTCTCTCTCTCTCTCTCTCTCTCTCTCTCTCTCTCTCTTTCTCTCTCTCGCTCTCTCTCTCTCTCTCCGTAGCCCGCGGGGCCGGAGCGAGGGAGACGGACTCAAAGCTCGCTCATTGTCTCAAGTCATTGTCTGACAAAGGCGTACCTGCCGAGGCTACCCACGTGACACTCACCCCTACGGAACACTCCGGAACACTCCGGACCGCCCCAAGAGTGCGAGAGAGACAGAGCGACTGGACTGTCAGTTTGAATCGAGGTATCATGTGAGTTTTAACAGTGCCCAACAGACCGGGCGAGGCGCGGGCATCCACATTTTCCAAGACGTAAAACTGTCTGTGATTTGGTGAAGGAAAGAGAGAGAGAGTTCGTGCAGCCATGGCGCAATGCGGCTTATTCTAACACCAAAACGATGCCCGCTCCCCCCCCCCCTTTTCCGCGTTCACGTAAGGCACCACAATCCATACACACAGTCCGATACACCACAAATTCGACGGAAACCGCGCCTTGCTGGCTACACTGGCACGGACATGCCCAGGAAATGATCGCATCGCACCTTTCTAACGTGCTTTTGGGTTTTACAGTGCAGCATCTGCTTTCGGTCACGCCGCATCTGATACACTCGCGTGTCCGGCGACCGGGTGGAGTGCCAAGACGCCAAGCACATTCCAACGGCTCTTCGCAGCTTCGCAGCGCCATGCGAAACGGGTACACGTGTATTCAGCGGAACTCCGCGGAGTGCGTGGACTCGAGCTTGGAGTGCCCCCTGGTCCCCGGTGGCCTCCCAGTGAGTCTCCCAGCCTCCCTGCCGATGACTCGAGCATTCGCAAGACTTTTGTCGCATCCACCGAGACAATCAGTCACTCGACAGGGGCGGGGCGGGGCGGGGCGGAGCCGGCGGCATTCAGTCGGACTAAGGTCATGCGGAGTTCGTCTTGCTCCCACTTGGGCACGGCATGCAAACGCCCAGCCCAGGAGGCCGACTCGCGCTGTCTCTCTCGCACTCTTGGGGCGGTTCGAACAGTCCCGAGAGAGACCGACCGCGAGCGACGAAAGCACTGTCGGAGCCCCCCAAGGGCGCCGCGGCGGGCCCAAATGACACTGCCGGCGCCGGGACTCGAACCCGCCTCCGCGGCGGACGGCGGATTCACACCTCGGCCTCGCGGCGGGACCGGTGGAGGCGGACAAAACTCTAGACGCGTTTTGAGCTCCAGATTCGCAAAAGCGGACTCCGAGGGGGAAATCACTCGCGTAATAGTCGGGTCACCGATTCCTAGTATTACGCGTAATAGTAATAGCGTAATAGCCAAATTTCTTAAAATTTCCTTTATTTAGGGTCCGATTTTAGCCTAAGTCTGGATATTTTTGAGCGTAATAAGCCTTCTGTAATAGCGTAATAGAACGTAATAGGGAGTAGTCGGGTCACAGTTTTTAAGAGTGATTTCCCCCTCGGCGGACTCGAACCGAACGTGTGACCCCACCAATGGATTGCTCTCCGAACGAGGAATCCATTGGTGGGGTCACACGTTCGGTTCGAGTCCCATTTAGCGACTCTGGAGCTCAAAACGCGTCTAGAGTTTTGGCCGCCTCCACCGGTCTTCTGGCCCACTGTGTGCCGTACTGCTGTGACTGGAGCGGCCGCATTCCTCGCGGCATTTCGAATCTGGCGCCACACCGCGGCGGCACCGCGTCCAGTACACTGCACGCTCGAGGCACGCGGCCGCGGCCTGCAGCGGGGTGCAATTTGGCGCAGCGCTTTCGTCTCTCTCTCTCCCTCCCTCTCCCTCTCTCTCGCACGCGTGAAGTGTCAAGGGGTGCGAGGGAGATGGAGCGACGAGGCACGGTGCGGAATGGACCTGCATAGATGCTGCGCGGAGCAGAGCATCAGTTGTATAGTCTGGTCTGCGCTGCACTAGTTGACTGGCTGCAGCCCGTACACTGTACAGCACTGCGTCACTGCAGTGGCGTCAGCAGCCGACCCACAGTGGACCAGAAGTCCGGTGGAGGCGGCCAAAACCCTAGACGCAGGGTCGCTAAATGGGACTCGAACCGAGTGGGTGACCCCACCAATGGATTGCTCTCCGAACGAGGAATCCATCGGTGGGTTCACACGTTCGGTGCGAGTCCTGCTTCGCGACCCTGGAGCTCAAAACGCGTCTGGAGGTTTGGCCGCCTCCACCGGTCTTCTGGCCCACTGTGCGGCCGTTGTCCGGAGGGCCAGGCCGGCCAGGCCAGCCAGGGCCTTGCCTGCATTCTGCGTTACGCCGTTACGGTATCACGATTTGAGGACTACACATTCCTGGGCCGCGCGTAGCCGCGTAGCAGCGCGTTGCCAAGGCTGGCGGGCTGGCGGGGCTGGCGGGGCTGGCGGCCTGGCGCGGAGGGCGTGGCACGGCACCGCGCACGCCACGGCCCGCGTGCACCTGCCTTGTCCCTCGCATTGGATCAGACAGAGACGGCGATAACGCGTTCTGGAACCGCTGGAACGCAGCCCGCCTGGAGCCGGCCTGGAGCCGGCCTGGAGCCGGCCTGGAGCCTACAGTGTACCACGATGATGGGCCGGCGGGGGGCCCGGCGCGGCTCTGGCCCCGAGCCTGGCCGCGAGCTCCACGCCGCCGCTGCAGACTCATTCGTCGCTCTGTCTCTCTCGCACCCGCACGGAGCGCCCCGTGAGTGCGAGAGAGACAGACGAAGAGTGCAGCGGGGCGCCTGCACTGCTGGAGTGCCTCGCGCTGCCCGTGCACCTGGCCAACCCTTTCACACAGACGCGACTTGCGCGGTTCCAAATCGGGACGGAGTCGGCGAACGAGGAAGCTGTTGGCGTTCGTTGTCTCCGCGCGCGTGTCTCCGCCGTGGAGAGCGGTACCTCTCACAGTGGGCCAGTGGCAGCGGACAAAACTCAAGACGCGTTTTGAGCTCCAGAGTCGCTAAATGGGACTCAACGCGAGCGTGTGACCCCACCAATGGACTGCTCTCCTAACGAGGAATCCATTGGTGGGGTCACACGTTCGGTTCGAGTCCCATTCAGCGACTCTGGAGCTCAAAACGCGTCAGGAGTTTTGGCGCCACCTCCACCGGTCTTCTGGCCCACTGTGCCCCTCCGCCTTGCAGAGCGGACAGCAGCACTCTGTTTGCCCGAAAGCGGCCCGAAAGTCTGAAAGTCGCTTATTTGCGCGAGAACAACATTGGCTCGTGGTCAACTGACGGGCTCGCTCGTGCAAGGCTCGTGCTGAGGAGAAACACGGGGAAAGAAAGCAGTTGCGGATTGCCGACTTCTTTTCAAAAAAAAAAATAAAAAAAAAAAAATAAAAAATTGGAAGAGTAAAACAAAAGTGCAAGACACTTCACTGTGTTTTGCGCCCGAAACGGCAGCTCTCGCCCTACTTAAACTGTTCCAGCAAGTGGCTTGTCCCGCGCACCGCTCGACGGGGCACAGACCCCCCCGACACACACGGCGCACAGTGACATTCACGCACACGTCAACAGCGCCACAAGCCACGCCTCGGCAAAAGAAAAAAAAAACAAATCTCATTTTTCTCTAAACCCGACGAGATAAAATGTAAAGCAATCTCTGAAGCCGTGCCGCGGCGGCGCCCAGGTGCGCGACGCCGGCGGCCGTCAGAAAAAGGGATTACGAATCTTTGAGCGATAGCGCGGCCGTTCGCCAGGCCGGTAGGGGCGCGTCAGGACGCACAGTGGGCCGGAAGACCGGCGGAGGCGGCCGAAATCCCGGACGCGTTTTGAGCTCCAGAGTCACTAAAAGGGAGTCGAACCGAACGTGTGACCCCACCAACGAGGAATCCATTGTTGGGGTCACACGTTCGGTTCGAGTCCCATTTAGCGACTCTGCAGCTCAAAACGCGTCGAGAGTTTTGGCCGCCTCCACCGGTCTTCTGGCCCACTGTGGGGCCTCCTCCTTCTCCAGCAGGAGCGGAGCGGACGGCGAGCGAGCGGCCCACCTGCCAGAAAGGGCTAGCGCTGCAGCAAGTGCGGGCATGCGTGCGTGTGTGTGTGCGTTCGCGCGTGTGTGGGTGTGTGCGTGTGTTTCATGACGTCACGGTGTTAACGCCGGCCAGCCCAGCCAGCCCGGCCCGGTGGACTCGGCGTGGTGAGGCGAGGCGTGGCTCCGCGGCCCAGGGACGGGCGCTGGCCGGCTGGCTTGGGTGCGGCGGCTTTCACTCAATACCATGGCGTAGCCGCGGTGTTGGCAGTGCAGCGGCTTGAGAGAGGGAGGGGGGGGGGCGCAGGGCGCGGCCAAGTCTGACCCGCTGACCTCTTCCGATAGGTAGGAGTACGCGGCGCCCGCCGAGGCGCCCACCGAGCAGTACGTGCCGACATACCGATCTCTCCGTCTCTCTCGCTCTCACGCGCCCAGCGCCCTGCCCATTCAGACGTTCGGACATTCGGAAGGCCGCGGCCGTTTGGCGCGCAGCACAGTGGGCCAGAAGACCGGCGCAGGCGGCCAAAACTCTAGACGCGTTTTGAGCTCCAGAGTCGCTAAATGGGACTCGAACCGAACGTGTGATCCCACCAATGGATTCCTCGTTCGGAGAGCAATCCATTGGTGGGATCACACGCTCAGTTCGAGTCCCATTTAGTCACTCTGGAGCTCAAAACGCGTCTCGAGTTTTGGCCGCCTCCACCGGTCTTCTGGCCCACTGTGCGCAGCTTCCATTCATTGCACGGAATTCATCGCTGTGTCTCTCTCGCACTCGCGGCGCGGCCCGGCAGGTTGCGAGAGAGACAGAGCGACGGCGCTGCGCTTTGGGAATCAGCCGGCCGCCGTCTTGCGCAACGGATCCAACGGATCCCACTCAATTAGCACGTTCATTCTCCCACCGGGAGAGAGAGAGAGAGAGAGAGAGAGAGAGAGAGAGAGAGAGAGAGAGAGAGAGAGAGAGAGAGAGAGAGAGAGAGAGAGAGAGAAAGAACGCTGCGCGGGTCCCGCCATTTTTACCCAGCCAGGCAATGACCTCCGCACTGCGAGTCCAAAACAGAACGACGGAAGCTGCCTGTGAGCCCGACACCGTCTTTTTATAGTTTTTCGGTTCAATCGGACTCGGCCTCGACGTTCACGTCGTGCTTTGGAGATCGGAATTTAACAGTGGGGTCGCTCGCTGCGCGGCTCTGGAGACTTGTACGCGCGTTTGTCATTCCCCCCGCAAAGCCACCCGTCTTGGCGGTGCCGCCCCGCCCCGCCCTGCCCGCCCCGCCCCGCCCCGCCCCGCCCCGCCCCGCCTGGAATGCGGCCCCCTTTTGCGTCCCAGACATCCCCCTGCTCCCGGTCCAGGCTCGCCGGGTCCACTCCTCACACGTTTCCCTCCTAGTCCGCGTCTTATCTGCACAACCTGTATCGTTAATTATTTTTCCATCATGTTTTTTTAGAGCGTGGTTAATCTGCTGCCGATTTTCGATCAACGGACCTGACCTGTCCTAACTGAAATCGCGGCTAAGAGTGTGGCGGGTGGCGTTGACTTGGCACGCTATGTCGTTCCCCCAGAAGGGCTGCCCCCCTCCAATGGGATGCCTCCCCGGTCAGGGGCACCACTCCACTGTACAGTCTGCACAGGCGACGTGTCTAACCGCAAGCCGGCTAAATATCAAGGTGCCGTGCCATTGAGCGGCGGCAGGATGTCGGTTCGTCTTGTTCGTCCTCCCGGCATGCAAAGCTGAGTCAGAAACCAATTACCAGGGGCGTTATCTCGAGAACGGCGCGCGTCACGAGCTGCAAGCTCAGGACGGCCAAAGGGAGGAATGCAATTTGAAAACCAAGTCGTCCTAGGCCGCTGACGCACCGTGGCCAGAAGACCGGGAGGCGGCCAAAACTCTAGACGCGTTATGAGCTCCAGAGTCGCTAACAGGACTCGAACCGAGCGTGTGACCCCACCAATGGATTCCTCGTTCGGAGAACAGTCCATTGGTGGGGTCACACGTTCGGTTCAAGCCCCATTTAGCGACTCTGGAGCTGAAAATGCGTCCAGGATTTCGGCCGCCTCCACCGGTCTTCTGGCCCACTGTTCACTGAAATTCAAAGGGTGAGACATCTCACCGATTTTCGTTGATACAAAAAGTATGACCGAAAAAACGGTCATACACAAATGTATGACCGAAAAACGGTCATACTTAAATGTATGACCGAAAAACGGTCATACTTAAATGTATGACCAAAAAAAGGTCAGACATCAGCGAGACTGGCTATTGTTAAGCTTGGGGATATATCAGCCTTTACCCGTGACACACTATAAAGTATGACCGTTTTTCGGTCATACATCGAAGTATGACCGTTTTTCGGTCGTACATTTCAGTAAGGCCGTTTAAGCGGTCAAAAGTATGACCTTTCTATTTTCAGTGTTGGCTTTGCCTGCTGGGACGCGGCGGGGGTCGTCCGTAAACAACCGCCTGAGGGACGCCCCCTCATTATCACGGTGTAGTTTCGCTCCGTTTGAGTAGCTTTATGCCGGGGCCGGGCCTCAAGTACGAGGCGCGGTGACCCAAATCTGGCCGGGCCGGCGAAGGGACAGGCAGGTGCAGCACACGGTGCAGCACACGGTGCCGCCGTCATCGGGGCGGTCGAGCCTGGTGAGGCGTAATACCGGGCTCTGCCTGTCAATCGGCGAGATAAGCGCCCCGCACACTGACAGCGTGAATCACCTACACTGCAATCCGCGCGGCCGATTTCTCATACCGCCTGGCCTAGCCTCGCGGCGGGGCGGCGGCCGCGGCCGCGCATCTGTCACCCTGGCGACCAGGTGACGATGGTCTTGATGGAGCACCAGGCCCACCCCGGGGTTGCTGCAGGTGCTGGCTGGCTGGCCGTGCTGGCCGCCTACAAGGTGCCCGCGGCCGTGGTGGCGCCCGGGCGAACGCGGGGCGGCGGCTGGCGGCCCAGCCTGCGACCTCAATGTACGACGGGGAGCCCAGCGAGGGTCTCTACCTGCGCGTCGACGGGGACCTCGCCGACGTGCCGGAGGCCAGGACAGCCCCGGGGGCGGACGCGCCGCGCCGGCCAGCACGGCGGCCTCGGACGCCTCCGCCGCACCTCCCCGACGGCGACCCTCAGCAGCCTGTCCGAACGCTCACCTGTTGAACGGGTAATCCACTACGGCAACGCGCTGCTGGCGGCTCTCGGTTCACTCGCTTCTCGCGCGACGGCTTGGCGGACACGGGTTCGACGCGCGGCGGACACGCGTTGGCATCGGACACGCCACACGCAACACTCACGACGACTTCCACGACTTCAAGCGCGAGAGGAATGCATCGCGACGGCCGCCATGTTGGGGCTTCGGGCTGCTTCCATGTCCAACTCGTACCTGGCCTGCCTACGGCCGCAGCGCGGCACGCCAACCAACCTGAGCGCGGCGGGGGAGAGGGGGGGGGCTTTGGAATGCGCAGTGCACCCCCTCCACCGCCTCTCCACCTCCAGGGCCTCCGACGAGTCCAACGGGCCGTGGGGCACCGTGGGGCCGGGGAAGGATTGGTGGTTGCCGAGGCCGCCGCCGAGAGGCGCCACCGTCGCGGCTGCGTGTGGGACTTCCCTGGGACTGCGCCTCGGACGCAGCCGCGGCACCCAGCGGACCACAGTGGGCCAGAAGGCCGGTGGCGGCGGCAAAAACTCTAGACGCGTTTTGAGCTCCAGAGTCGCTAAATGGGACTCGAACCGAACGTGTGACCCCACCAATGGATTGCTCTCCGAACGAAGGAATCCATTGGTGGGGTTACACGTTCGGTTCGACTCTGGAGCTCAAAACGCGTCTAGAATTTTGGCCGCTTCCACCGGTCTTCTGGCCCACTGTGCGCGGCCGGCGGGATGAGCTTTGGGTCGTGTCGAGGATAATAAAAGAGTCTTTATTTCTTACGACACTATCTTTATTTTATTGTACAATATGTATAGAGTAAACTTAAGGAGAAATCTACGTTTTACATGACACATCAGAACGACTGGACAGCGAGCTCTTTCTTCCTCCGAGCCACATGAGAAATTGGTTGGTCGGTTGACTCGTGCTCCGACAGTGTCCTCGTCGGCGCACTTTTATCACAAGTCTAGCTCCTAATTTGTAGTCTAGCATTAAACCTAGGGAAATATGTACAGCACATCTTGACGCCACCGTGTGTGAGATTTGAGATTTCTGTCGTTCTGGCCTCGGCTGTGTTGCAAGACTTTTGAGTCTGAGCATTCGGGGCTGACAGCGCACATGGGCCAGAAGACCGGTGGAGGCGGCCAAAACTCTAGACGCGTTTTGGGCTCCAGAGTCGCTAAATGGGACTCGAACCGAACGTGTGACCCCATCAATGGATTGCACTCCGAACGAGAAATCCATTGGTGGGGCCACACATTCGATTCGAGTCCCTTTTAGCGACTCTGGAGCTCAAAGTGCGTCTAGAGTTTGAGGCGCATCCACCGGTCTTCTGGCCCACTGTGCAGCGGTGCCAACCCTTTGGCAATGACTTTCACTTACTGAAATTTGCCTCTTGAAATAACCCCATTACAACTTTATTGATAAATTTTCTGGTTGATTGATTTTAGCTCTCTGGCGGGAGGTGAACTGGGTCCTTTATTGGCTGGAAATGGAATGGAGATCCTCCGCTGGGCGGCAACGAAACTGCTTCCCGGGCCGAACGGGGCCCCTCGCGCGCGAACCCAACACCAGTTAAGGCGGCTCAGCGGGGAGGGTGGGGTCAACACCGTCGTCGGCAGTTCTGAGCCGCAGTGGTGGCAGCCACGGCGGCGTAGTTGGGGTCGATCTGGAACGGGGGATTCGTAAAGTCAAACGGACCGCCTTTCGTGCTGGCATGCACCCGGACAGGACAGGGGTTCGGGGTTCAAGCGTGGTGGGTGTGGCACACACACAAGGGACGAAAACGAGAAGTGGTGAACGATACATGGAGTCGCTGTCCAAATCTCCCACAGCACGCCATGCCTGCTTTCAGAACAACATACGCATGCGACATTCACACGTCGAGGGGATACGAGTACTGCGGTGTATGGAACGGGAAGATGGACACACACAAAAAGACGTAGTCCCGCGATTTTTGACCGACTTTCAAAGTGGAAAATGACTGCCAAAAATGGCGCAACGCCCGCCTGAGCCTTATTGGATGAGGGAGGCGGCCAGGACGACACAGAAGACGAAACACACTTTGGGGACGTCACACCGGGGGTGCAGTCTTCTTCACCTTTCTACCCGAGTTGCCCATGACCAGGCCGATGGCGAAGGCGTCGATCCTCGAGTCGATGACGAAGCCGGCCTGCGCGAACGCTGCAACCAAGGTTTCAGTTTCAACACAGTGCAAACCGGAGGGTTTGAGTTTCCAGGTCAGCCTAGTGAAACCCGGGACGGGAGCTGCGCGGAGCTATCTAAGGCAGACTGTCGGTCAGGTCAAAGTCCGCGCATTGTCGTGCTAGACGGCTTCCAGTGTGCGGCACGCGCTGCAGTTTCGAACCAACGCAGTCTGCTTTCGGAGCATTCGCGATCTACATTGCGGTGTTATCGTTTGTACTATCTCCATCCCGCGCCTTGGCGACGACGCTGCCTCAAGCCGAGGACGGGGGCGGGGCTTGGGGCAAAGTGGGAGCCAGGTTGGTGGCGGTCGAAACACAGACAGACGGACGGACCGTCAGGAAGACAGACGGATGAGCAGATAGACAGCCGGACAGACGCCCACATGGACACACACACACACACACACTCGCATCGTCCGATAACCCCGGCGTGTTACATGGCGTCTTCCTTCCTCTATTGCGCGTCCCAATCTGGTCAAAACAAGCGAGGCGCTGCCGCGCTGCCCGCAATGCTCTAGGCTATCGCGGTAAACGGATCTGCCTTGTGACGCTGTCCACAGTGGGCCAGAAGACCGGCGGAGGCGGCCGAAACTCTGGACGCGTTTTGAGCTCCAGAGTCGCTAAATGGGACTCGAACCGAGCGTGTGACCCCACCAATGGATTCCTTGTTCCGAGAGCAATCCATTGGTGGGGTCACACGTTCGGTTCGAGCTCCATTCAGCGACTCTTGGCGCTCAAAACGCGTCTGGAGTGTCGGCCACCTCCACCGGTCCCCAGGCCCTCCATCCTCACCTCTGAGCTTCTCCAGCAGCTCGGACACGGGCACCAGGATGGGCACCTTGTGCCTCTCGCCGGCGGCGCGCGCGTTGATGAAGTTGTTGCCCGGCTCGTCGCCGTTGACCTCCACGGTGACGATGCGGAGCGCGCCGCCCGCCACGGCGGGGTCGGCGGCCAGCACGGGGCCCACCTTGCGGGCCGCGCCGAAGAAGCCCGTGCACTCCAGCAGCTCGCGCTCCGCGGACTGCTCCGGGGTCTCGTTCTCCAGCACCAGGCCTGGAACAGGGCGCGGTGAGCACGGCCGCCTACGCTCAGTGGGCCAGAAGACCGGTGGAGGCGGCCAAAACTCTAAAAGCGTTTTGAGCTCCTGAGTCGCTAAATGGGACTCGAACCGAACGTGTGACCCCACCAATGGATAACTCGCCGAACGAGGAATCCATTGGTGGGGTCACACGTTCGGTTCGAGTCCCACTTAGCGACTCTGGAGCTCCAAACGCGTCTGGAGTTTTGGCCGCCTCCACCGGTCTTTTGGTCCACTGTGCAACGGCCGAAGCGAGTAGGGTTGCCACCCCCAGCCTGCCTGTCGGGCACTACCTGCGCGTTGAGGTGACCGCGTCGGCGGGCTGAGGTTGGCAACCCTACACTGGGGCGTCGTGAGACGGCACTCACCGGAGGGCATCTCGATGGTGTGCTTGCTGAGGGCGGGCCGGAACTGCTTGACGAGGACCACGCAGTCGTAGTGCAGCATCCGGCGGTACCAGGCGATCACCAGCACCGAGTCGATGCGCGAGGTGGGGTTCCTGCTGATGCGGGAGCAGCCCTCCCACTGCCTGGAGCAACAGCGGGGAGTTAGCGCCGCAGCGAGAAGCCGGACGCGTTTTGAGCTCCAGAGTCGCTAAATGGGCCTCGAACCGCACGTGTGACCCCACCAATGGATTGCTCTCCGAACGAGGAATCCATTGGTGGGGTCACTCGCTCGGTTCGAGTCCTGTTTAGCGACTCTGGAGCTCAAAACGCGTCCAGAGTTGTGGCCGCCGCGGCCGCGCACCTGGCGGGAGCCCCTGCAGTGGAGCGGGTAGGCCGTCCCGCCACGGCCGCGCGCGGAGCGGCGTGCCTACGCCGCATTACCATTACCATTACGGGCCAGACGCGTCCACCTACCTGCTGACGCCGTCCGGGTCGATGTAGGTGATCTGTGAGAGCTGCAGCCAGTCGCCCCTGGCGAGCACCTTCTCGCCCACCACCCTGGAGCCGTCGTCCGTGGTGTCCGTGGTGCCGTGGCTCAGCTTCCTGGGCATGGCCATGGGCACCGTCATCTCGTCCATGATGTCGTCCTCGGCGGGCAGCCGCCGCAGCACGTCCAGCCCCGCGTTCATCTGCACGCCCTGGGCAAGGATTGGGTAAAGGCTTAGCTGAGTGGGTTGGCGGGCCGAGAGAGAGACAGAAAAAGGGGGCTTCTGGAAAGGCCGCGGGCCTTACATCACAAGCGTGGCGATACGACGGCGTCAATGAGATGACCGCGTACTATCAACGCGACGCGACGGGGGTCTCCAAGGGAAGATGGCGGCGCGGCGCCACAGTGGGCCAGAAGACCGGTGGAGGCGGCCAAAACTCGAGGCGCGTTTTGAGCTCCAGAGTCCCTATATGGGACTCGACGCGAGCGTGTGACCCCACCAATGGATTGCTCTCCGAACGAGGAATCCATTGGTGGGGTCACACGTTCGGTTCGAGTCCCATTTAGCGACTCTGGAGCTCAAAACGCGTCCGGGGGTTTGACCGCCTCCACCGGTCTTCCGGCCCACTGTGGGGCGGGCGCGGGCAGTGTAAAACCAACTTCATTTATCGAGCGATTGCGGCGTTGCGCAAAACCTGGCCGCGCAAATAGCAATGCCCCACCAAGGCCTGCCATCCCAGCCTCCCGATCAAGGCGAGTCAAGGCTGTGGGAGTTTAGTGCACTGTAAACAATGTTATCACTCGAAACCCGCCAAGGACTGGGTGGCAGGCTCGACCGCTTCGCCCGCACCAAGGTTCGAACCACTGACCGCCTGCTTCTCAGCCGGCAGGAGCGTGATGGCAAGTCAGAGTTCGCTCTCGAATGAGATGAAATCGATTCAGTCGCACCCTACAGACAGCCGATCGGCAACTATCTCTAGAACCCCTCGTCTTGAAATTTGACTCGCGTCTCCGAAGAAACAATACGCCGTGCAAAATTTCCCCGCGCGTTGTGTAAACGACATTTATCTCACGACTGTGTCCACACACCATGACTAGACATGCAGTTCGAGTTACACTCCCCCTCCTTTTTTTTTTTTTTTTTTTTTCTCCTCGTTGCTCGTTATCGGCGTGACGACAGTTCTTCGCGTCAGGTTCTGATGTCAATGGAGATCATCGATAGTCGGCCCGAGGAGCAGACGAAAACACAATTCTCGAAACCACCGCAATTTTATTTCCCACGTTGGTATGGCAACCAAAAGTCGGGTCTTTGGTCATGTGGCGATTAGCGACCATGGTAATTTTTTTTTTCGAGAATCTTTTCCGGTATGGAAAAAAATGCGGGTGGTCGCCATGGTAACGGAACTTTAGCTGCGAGGGTTGCGAATGGCATAATGCTTATCGTGTGTTTTCGGCTTGTTTTCCGTTTGTTTTCGGCTCGCCCTTCTCGGCTCCACTTATCGTCGGCAGATTACGTGGCCCAATCAACAACAATAGTGGAGGCGCTGTTGAAATCAGGTGACCGGGCGGCCCGGCAGGGCGCTGGTTTCTATGAGGGCGACGTGGCGAGGTTGTTTTTGCAGTGCGGTTGCAGGCCTGCAGTGCCCGCTGCAGGCTTCACTGCCAGGAGCTTAAAGCCACGAGTTACAACAATTCGAGTTCGAGAGCCAGAAACTTGGAAAACTTAACAGACTTAACAGATTCTGAGAACGGATCGGTTGTGGACCCGTAGTGCCAACACAATGCGTCAGGCAGACGGACCTCTTCCCGATTGGTTGTGCTTCAGGAGCTTCACGATCGTTGAAAAATGGGATGATATGCGGGGATTCGAACCGAAGACCGGCTCCCAGGGGTTGGCGTGCTACCGTACTTCTAAATTTACTTAGATTTACTTAAATTTACTTTGGAAACTTCAATGAAATGCGGTAAAAATGCTCGCCATCAGTAGGCTGGTGAATAAAACTGCTCCCTTCGGTTGAGAAGAAGTAAAGGATGCCGATCGATTTGGATGTCGAGTTGGGTTTACCCACGCGTATCTTGAATGGAGGTAGGCTCCCTGTATTTTTGTGCGGGAGGTATGGGCAGCTTTCGCTATTCTCCAGCCCAAACCCAAACGCCCCAAACGCTTCAGTCCAATCGGGTACTCACCAAGTTTCCTGCGGGAATTTTCGAAGCCTTGTCTGCGACCTGCTTGACAGCGGAGTCCTCTGCTTCTTCGGCTGCTGCTGCGCGGAGAGGTGCTGTGAGTCTCTCGTCGGGCGATAGCTCAAGACTGGTGGCCGCTCCGAGGCCCGCAGCCCCCACGACCCCGAGACTCCCCCCCCCCCCCAAGCCACGCCCGTCAGAAGTGACCCCTCCTCCCCTGTCTCCTCCCGAACCAAGTTCGCATTAAGACACGTGCTGATACTTATCGCCATGCCGTGTTTCTCACGAGCTGCAGCACGCCTGCAGCACTATTTGCCTGCCAATTATTTTTTTTTTTTATTTTTTGTGTCGGGCTTGGCGATACAGTGCGAAATAGTTGCTCGATCACAGAAGTCGTGATGATGACTAAACCGAAAGGCTAAAAAAGAGAGGAGTTGCAGAAGGGACGATTTCGATAATTAGTTCTCTATGCTCTGTTTCCTTGCCGAAGAAAAACTTATCACTTCCCTTGTTCTTGTTCCCCCGCCTTTTTTGGCAAGTCTATGGGTCGTTTTCTAGACAGAAGTCGTCAGGAGCGTGCACGGTAATGGTTCCTGGTTTTGCCAGGAACTCCGTGGAAGTCGCCTATATCTCTGCCATTGGCCTCCTGGGGAAACCAGGTACCGTTTTTAGCGTGTAGCTTGCCTAAAAGCCTTTCGGTTAGGCCAGGTTAAGTCCGTCGCCGAGGCTAAGCGCGCCTTGGACCTTCGCTCCGACGTCATCCACTCCACTGGATCGTTGCCCCTTCGTATCACGATACACACCAGTCTTTTATTTCCGTCAGACCCAACAAAACCTAACCAAGGCTCCCTTTTTTCCGAGTGCTTCTTTTGACGCCCTGATTCTTTTCTTTTTCTCCTTTTTTCATTCTGTATCGGTTTAGATTTAACTTGGACTTGCTGTGCGACGTTGTTAAATGAGGTCAATGGAAGGGAGCGATGACCCCACGAGGCCCAACTGCAGTAAAGGGACTGTATTTCGAAAACTCCTTTATTCCACCAGCTTAACATAACACCTTTATGTACACAATGGGATACACACATGATATGAATAAATAATTAATATTATTGATAATGATACGAATTTTTTTATAAACAAAACGAGAAACCTACGAATGTATGAGTAGTTTAAGTTAAGCAGGAGACCGTTTACATGTCGAACTTATTGCTACCACGAAACTTACAGCTGTGACAATCCTTACTTATTTTGGTTTTGCTTGTCAGCACACAGTATAAGTCTTCCTCCACAGACACACGACACGCGCATGCGTATCCTACACTAGGAAAACATTGGCGTACCCGTCTATCGTGAGCTTAGGTTTTAGCTTTGTTTCCGCCTCTACCTTGACGTCTTTGTGTAGGGGGAAGTGCTCCGATGAGACGAACAGCAGATATGAAGAGCGTTACAGTAAAACTTTACTTTAGTCGTAGTGTTTTCTCCACCTATGTAGCAGTATTTACTTCATAGTGTGCGTCTGATGGGCGAAACAATACCCCAGTCATCAGACTTCTTGAAACGAAATAAAAATTGTCAGAAAACGAAAAATGAAAAATCAAGAACTCGACAAAGCTTGACACGCAAGCCCCACGCGAGCCAAAGTGCATTTTTGCTCGACATTTCGATCACGGGCTGGGGCAGCGGAAGGTATGGAAATCGCTTATCGCTGGGATAGTCTGACAAGTTATCTTACAGTGCTGTTACTCCGTCTCTCTCGCACCCCTGCGGCACCTTGCGGCACGCCCCGGGAGTGCGACAGAGACAGCGGCACTGTCCCGGAATCAAACTGCTGCCGTAGTTTGTCTAGCAAACACCGCCCCAGACCTTCAAATCGGCGACAGAACAAACATCTCCCACCGGAGGGAGTTCCAAAACGGGGCACGCGCAAATGAAGGGAAATTTCTGGTCTTGGACAACAATCTAACAGGAAAAAAAATGGAACGGTATAATACTGATAAAACTCGGTTGCACGCCCTCTGACGGACTGTGCGCTTTCACAAATTTCGTCAAAATTAAGTACGGGTTAAGAACAACAAAACATTGCAAAGAATACTCTCGACGTTGTGTACGGTGCCGACATTGGCCGGGCGTGGGAGAGCGAGGCGAAAAACGGGGTTGGCCGGCCGCACAGTGGGCCAGAAGACCGGTGGGGGCGGCCAAAACTCTGGACGCGTTTTGAGCTCCAGAGTCGCTTGGGGCTCGAACCAAACGTGTGACCCCACCAATAGATTCCTTCGGAGAGCAATCCATTGGTGGGGTCACAGGTTCGGTTCGAGTCCCATTTAGCGACTCTGGAGGTCAAAACTCGTGTTTGGCCCACTGTGCGAGGTTGGTCGCTCAGCGGGGCTGGAAGCAGGGCAGGAAGTCGCAGTTGCGGACCTCCAGGCGGAGTCCGCACGGCCGGCCGCCCGGCCCGGGGTCCTTCTCCACCGTCCGGCTGCGGATCTTCTGCGCGTTGACGCCGCAGGAGCTGGTGCACTGGGACCACGCCGACCACTCCGACATGACGCAGTCGTTCTCTGCAGCAGCACCGTTAAAATTTAAAAAAACAAAAACAAAAAAAACGCGGTTTTTAAAAAAAATGTTTGAAATAAATTAAAATCTCACCACTGGGCCGCTGGTAGCCGTCCTCGTCGGCCTCGTCGTCAAACATGTCCCGCACCAGAGATCCGGCTGCAAAAGAAGCAAAATGACCCTAAAATCATTGTCCACCGGCTCAAGTTGCAGATAGGGCCGGGGCTTGTTTGAGCGCACGCTCCCCCTGTACACTGTATACTGCTGTACTCACAGCACGGCGGCAACCGGGTGCAGCGTTTCCGCGCCAGCAGCTTCTTGTCGCAGGCCTTGCCGCCGTTCTGGGGGTTCACCTGGGGGCGGCCAACAGTCAGGTTCATAGGGGTTCGAGTGGCGCCCAGTGGGCCAGAAGACCGGTGGAAGCGGCCGAAACTCTAGACGCGTTTCGAGCTCTAGAGTCGCTAAATGGGACTCGAACCAAACGTGTGACCCCACCAATGGATTGCTCTCCGAACGAGGGGTGGGGTCACACGTTTGGTTCGAGTCAGTCATGCTGCCCTCACCAGGATCTGCCTGGTCCTGGTCCTGTAGCCCGTGCCGCAGGTGGCGTCGCACGGCGACCACGGCCCCCACGGCGACAGCTTGCAGTCCACCACGTCGCCCGGCACCACAGTGGTCACGCTGAGGGGGGACATGGTGGGCCGGGAGAAGCGCCAGTCCTCCGCCGTGGGCCGCGAGTTGCGCCAGTCCTCCACGGCGCGCAGGTAGGAGCCCGGCTCCAGGTCGGGGGCGTACTGCGTGCCTGCAACAACCGGAGCAGAGGCTGTAGTCTCCCGTCGTCGGTAGCCAGTGGGCCAGAAGACCGGTGGAGGCGGCCGAAGCCCCGGACGCGTTTTGAGCTCCAGAGTCGCTAAATGGGACTCGAACCGAACGTGTGACCCAAACAATGGATTGCTCTCCGAACGAGGAATCCATTGGTGGGGTCACACGCTCGGTTCGAGTCCTTTAGCGACTCTGGAGCTCAAAACGCGTCTAGAGTTTTGGCCGCCTCCACCGGTCTGCTGGCCCACTGTGCTGTCTGCGCCACAAATAGCGAGTCCGTGGTGCCATGCCATGCGTTGCCAAGCACGAAACATTCTCCCAGTGCACCAGGCCGATGCACGGGACATGCGGGACTATACAATGGGGGGCCAGCCTGTCTCAAGCGCCGACACCCAGTAACAACTCTGCAACAACAAAACAGGAGCAAATAAATCGAGCGAAACAAACCGCAAATAAAAGAACAAAACTTTTTCCGGCAGGTTTCGGAAGCGATTACTGACTACATTGGAAGACCCCACTGAAACATGTATCACTGAGCGCATGAACTGAAAAATAATGACACTACGTGTTTTAAAAAAATGATAACTTCAGGCTTCTACAGGTTTACTGCTTCGCACAGTGGGACAGAAGACCGGTGGAGGCGGCCGAAACGCTAGACGAGCTTTGAGCTCCAGAGTCACTGAACAGGACTCGAACCGAACTTGTGACCGCACCAATGGATTCCTCGGTCGGAGAGCAATCCATTGGTGGGGTCACACGTTCGGTTCGAGTCCCATTTAGCGACTCTGGAGCTCAAAACGCGTCTAGAGTTTTGGTCGCCTCCACCGGTCTTGCTGGCCCACTGTGCTACGCCGGGCTACAGTGGCTTCGAGTCCAAACTGTGAGCACCCGCTGCGGCCGTGGTGGTGGCGTGCTCCTTGTCGCCGTGGTGGTGGTGGTGGTGGCCGTGGTGGTGGTGGTGCTGCCGTGGCGGCTGGAAGGGCTTGAACTCCTTGCCCGTCGGCTCGCTGTAGGTGATGGCGCCGGACAGGCGCACGCCGTACTTCTGCATGGCCTCCTGTCGGTCGGCCACCAGCGCGTCTGCGGGAACAAAAACCCAAATTCGGAATTCGCCGCTGCGTTCGGGTTCCATTTTTTTACGGCCTCCGATAGACCAAAGTACAGCCGATCCGATAGGCTCTCTCTCCTGAAGCAGCAGCTGGGGCCCGGCGGGAAACTGCAGTGCCGACACGCTAAGTTAAAAAAGAAAAGTTTATTGCGTCTCTAGTACGTGGCGCGTGGCATCGACGTGATAGGCTTTCTCTACCTTCGAGGGAAGAACTGCCCCCATCGGCCACCGCTCAGTGGGCCAGGGTGATTCCGTACGTAGGGGCCGTTTTAGCCACCTTAGAAAGTCACGTAATCAATCTTGCTTGTTCGACCGGAATTTTGCCTAGATGGCGTCAATAGGACACCAGGACGACACTCTGAGCGTGGGCGAGCTACAAGTTGACTTTCGTTTTCTCCCCCTATAAAATATGACGAAATTTACCGAAAATATGACGGAAATTACGCTCGACGGAAATTACAAACAGATGTTTCTAGCTCACTACAAATGCCCATCGCCTCAGATATATGCTATAAGTTTGGCACACTAGTCCGACGTCAAGACACGCCCTTTCACGTGTAGGATGACTTTCTAAACCCAATAGGAGAGGGGCGAGAGGGGCATACGGAAATTACATCAATTGTTACAACCCACCGTTTTCACACACAACTTCCACTCGCACACTCACCCCCCTTACTTTTTCGCCACCGGGATTCGTTCATAAGGTAAACAGACCATGCTGATTCTAAATACGGCGGTGGTTTTCAGCAGGGAGCACTCCTAGTAGTTTTTATGGTGGTAACTTTGAAACTACTAAGGCAAAAGTCGGAGTACGGTGGACATTTTGTACGCGTTCTGAAAGGACACTTCCTATCAATATACGATCTTAAAATTCAAGCAAGATAGTCACTATACGTTAGAGATTTAATGGGTGTGTGTGAAATTCGAAGATAAGAATGGAACAAATGGTTACAGAGCCGCAAAGTTGGTGCAAGGTGCGAATGGACATGACGGAACTTACAAAATTGACCCTTTTGGCCCCCCTCCCGCGTCACATGTTGGCTTTGAAAGTCCATATACAAAGGGAACAAGCTAGTCTGGTGCCAAACAAGATTCTTAAGTGCTTAAATGGGCTGCACTCGAATAAATTTGCCCTGGGGAGGGTGTGGACACGAAAACGCCCTCTACGCGCGGAATCGCCCGCCAGAAGACCGGTGGAGGCGGTCAAAACTCCGGACGGGTTTTAAGCTCCAGAGTCGCTAAACAGGACTCGAACCGAACGTGTGACTCCACCAATGGATTCCTCGTTCGAAGAGCAATCCATTGGTGGGGTCACACGTTCGGTTCGAGTCCCATTTAGCGACTCTGGAGCTCAAAACACGTCTAGAGTATCGGCCGCCTCCACCGGTCTTCTGGCAAATCCACTGCGCACCCCTCGCATACGCACCCTTGTTGGTGCACACGCGCTCGCACTCGGCCATGGTGGCGAAGTTGTTCCGGTTGCCGCGACAGCCGCCGTACTCGAAGGCGTGGCACACCCTGGAGTCCGTGTGGAAGAACCAGCGCTGCAGGTGGCCGCGGCAGGGGCCGGGGTCGGCCGGCAGGCGGCACACCACTGCGCAGAGCACACGGTGTAGAGCACATGGTGTGGAGCACATGGTGTTAGTCCGTTAGGTTAGCAGGCGGTGCGGTGGGTTATGGTAACGACAGTGGGCGTGTCACACTTTTAGCAACATGAACCGGCAGGCAAGAAGGGGTACGACTAAGACTAGAACGTTCCAGTCGGAAATAACAGAGTACAGTGTAGTGCAGACAAACGCCGACGGATCGCAAACAGCAGCAGAGAGGGCCCAAGCCGGTGCTCATCGTTTGTCCGACCTTCCTTTGTCCGACCTGTCCAAATTTCACTTGCCCGTGCATCGGCTGAAAATTTTGTCCGGCCTCCGTTTTGTCCAACCCACTTACACCGCCACGCGGTCAGGCTGCAGCTAGAGAGCAACTCGGCGGCGCTCAATTGATCTAAACACCCGCGGCTCACTCTCTATGTCAATCAAGACTGGATGCAGGACAATCCAAAGACATTTTAACACAAAATGTATTCAGAGTAACAGAAGTAAAATGAACTCTATAAAGAAAATTTCAGCGAAAGAGGGCACCCCGGCGAACCGGCCCTCTTCCCCGCTGGCTTGGTGGACCAGTGGTTCCCCCATCTCATCACAGGAGCAACCTCAGAGTTAAACCGCAGTGGCCCCGTCATTGGTCACGTCATCTGTGATGTGGAGGAGTCCTCTCATAGTAGGCCAGGCTGCCACCTTTCCCAGTAGTCGGGTTTCGTTCCCGGCACCGGTGTAAATGCCATCAGAATTTTCTGATTGAATTTCTGATTTCCAATCAGAAATCAGGATTTTCCTGATTGATTTTCTGATTTCTGATTGTCAATCAGGAATTATTTCTGATTTCTGATTGTCAATCAGGAATTATTTCTGATTTCTGATTGTCAATCAGAAAAAATCCTGATTGAGTACCGACATCAGAAGATTCCTGATTTCTGATGTCTGAGTGCCAATCAGAAATTTCCTGATATTTGATTTCTGATTGGCAATCAGAAAATTTCTGACTGCTTTTCTGATTGCTGATTGCCGCTCAGAAATCAGAAAAGAACATCAGGAAATTTTGATGGTGTCAAAGTACAGATGCCTATAAAATGGAAAGTATTTGCGATATCGGTTTCAAATTTGGTATGTGATATGTTCAGCCGATTTAACTAGGGCCATTTTAATCTTATGCACATCGGATCATCTTTAGTAGCATATCGAGGCCTGATCACGAGCTATCAAAAATCGGACTTCAGATTTGGATCGGACTCAGTTTTCACCCCCCAGAGAAGTTATCATCAATTTTAAATGTGCCTCGGCATGGTCATATTACCGATGTTTGAAGTTGTCTTACCAATCAGAACTGTCCACTCAGAAAAAACACAATCAGAAATAGTCAATCAGAACTGGTACCAATCAGAAATCATCAATCAGAGGTGCGCGAAAAAACATCAGGATTTTTCAATCAGAAAATATCCTGATTGACCAATCAGGAATTTCCTGATTGAAATCCTGATGAATTTTACACCGGTGGGCCCCCTTCCCACTCAGGGGCCATGCTACTGGTACTCAGGAGTCTGCGTCACCCTGCCCAGCAGCGGAACCACTGGGCTATGAAAGGCACACTGCATGCCGCCCGATTTTGTATACTTGAACCGCCTTCTTGCGATGCAAGCTTGGTCAAAATATTCTTTGAGGTGCTGGGTATCGAACCCCGGACCCCACAGTCGGGACCCGACGCCTCTGCGCTCTCGGCCACCACGGCCCATGGGTGACGATGTGCGAAGGGGAGGATTTGAAGCCGCTGGTCCGAACCGTGTAGTCAGACAAAAAGAGCGGCAAGCTAGTATTCGATCGCTCGATCCGAGTATGGGATTCAGAGATCTCAACACCTTCGGCCACCGTGGCTCGCCGGGTAAGCCGAGTGGCGCAACGGGTCCAAACCGCACCGGGAAAGCCACTCCTAAAATGTAAAGAATTGCTGGGAGTCGAACCCTAGCCCCTGAGAATGCGGGTCAACGCATCTGCGCGCTCTGCCGCCGCTGTTTCTATACAGTGTTGTAAGTCCCACTACTGGATTCACACTGTGGCATCCCGAGGAAATCATGATCACGCGCAGGGGCTAGGGTTCGACTCCCAACAATTCTTTACATTTTAGGAGTGGCTTTCCCGGTGCGGTTTGGACCCGTTGCGCCACTCGGCTTACCCGGCGAGCCACGGTGGCCGAAGGTGTTGAGATCTCTGAATCCCATACTCGGATCGAGCGATCGAATACTAGCTTGCCGCTCTTTTTGTCTGACTACACGGTTCGGACCAGCGGCTTCAAATCCTCCCCTTCGCACATCGTCACCCATGGGCCGTGGTGGCCGAGAGCGCAGAGGCGTCGGGTCCCGACTGTGGGGTCCGGGGTTCGATACCCAGCACCTCAAAGAATATTTTGACCAAGCTTGCATCGCAAGAAGGCGGTTCAAGTATACAAAATCGGGCGGCGTGCAGTGTGCCTCTCATAGCCCAGTGGTTCCGCTGCTGGGCAGGGTGACGCAGACTCCTGAGTACCAGTAGCATGGCCCCTGAGTGGGAAGGGGGCCGGGAACGAAACCCGACTACTGGGAAAGGTGGCAGCCTGGCCTACTATGAGAGGACTCCTCCACATCACAGATGACGTGACCAATGACGGGGCCACTGCGGTTTAACTCTGAGGTTGCTCCTGTGATGAGATGGGGGAACCACTGGTCCACCAAGCCAGCGGGGAAGAGGGCCGGTTCGCCGGGGTGCCCTCTTTCGCTGAAATTTTCTTTATAGAGTTCATTTTACTTCTGTTACTCTGAATACATTTTGTGTTAAAATGTCTTTGGATTGTCCTGCATCCAGTCTTGATTGACATAGAGAGTGAGCCGCGGGTGTTTAGATCAATTGAGCGCCGCCGAGTTGCTCTCTAGCTGCAGCCTGACCGCGTGGCGGTGTAAGTGGGTCGGACAAAACGGAGGTCGGACAAAGTTTTCAGCCGATGCACGGGCAAGTGAAATTTGGACAGGTCGGACCAAAGAAGGTCGGACAAACGACATACACCCGGCGCAAGCGAGGCGCCGTTTGCAAACAACCGAAAAATGGAAGAAAACGGACAGGGCGGTCGCCGGCAGCCCTCGCGGCAGCCCCAGACCAGGGCCACACCTTATCTCCACATTACACAGCCGTTGCATTAATTTTTTTTTCGAGAAGGCCGCGCGCCACGCCGGGTTGGCCCGGGCGGCAGACCGGCAGCAGGCTCCTTCCGAGACGGCGCTCTGTCTCTCTCGCACTCGTGGAGCGCGCCGCAGGGGTGCGAGAGAGACAGAGCGACGAGATCGGCATTCGTAATGAGCGTGCAGGGCGCCCGATAAAAGCACCATTGAGACTCCGCGCCGTTCGGCCGTCCGACGGTCCGACCGCCAAGGCCGAGTTACAGTGCAGCGGTCCAGCGACGACGCACAGTGGGCAAGATGACCGGTGGAGGCGGCCAAACTCCCGGGCGCGTTTGGACCTCTAGAGTCTCTAAATGGGCCTCGAACCGATCGTGTGACCCCACCAATGGATTGCTGTCCGAACGAGGAATCCATTGGTGGGGTCACACGATCGGTTCGAGTCCCATTTAGCGACTCTGCAGCTCAAAACGCGTCTGGAGTTTCGGCCGTCTTCACCGGTCTTCTGGCCCACTGTGCGACGGCCATCACGGCGTACCTCGCGTCTGCTCCGGAGTGAGGCGGCACGACGGCGCCGTGCAGTACACCTGCTCGCGCATGGCCACGCCGGCGCACGGCCCGGTGCGCGGCGACTCCCCCAGGGAGGGCTCGTCGCCGAGGGTCTTGTCCACGGCCAGCGGCACGCGGTGGCGCACCTGCTGGCCGCGGCCGCACGACACGGAGCACGACGACCACTGGCTCCACTCGGCCAGGTAGCAGCCGTTGGGGGGCTCCACCTGCAGCAGGGCGACGGTGAGCACGCCGACGGCCAAAGACGCGTTTTGAGCTCCAGAGTCGCTGAATGGGACTCGAACCGAACGTGTGACCCCACCAATGAATCGCTCTCTGAACGAGGAATCCATTGGTGGGGCCTCACGCTCGGTTCGAGTCCTGTTTAGCGACTCTGGAGCTCAAAACGCGTCCGGGATTTTGACCGCCGCCAACGGTCTTCCGGCCCACGGAGCGCACTCACGGGCTGGCCGCCGCTGTTGCTGCCGCCGCTGCAGTCGTCCTGGCCGAAGCAGTCCTCGTTCTGCTGCAGGATGGGCGCGTCCGGGGCCATGTAGCAGCGCTTGCCCGCGCGGTGCTTGAACTTGCGCGACCGCGTCCGCGTGCCCTTGCCGCACGGCGCCGAGCACGTGGACCACGCCGTCCAGGGTGTGAGCTCGCACTCGGGGTCGTCGGCCACGTTGCGCTGGCTGCTCAGGCTGCGGCAGAGAGGCATCGGTCACGTGGTCTCAGTGGGTGGGACTCGAACCGAACGTGTGACCCCACCAACAGACTGCTCTCCGAACGAGGAATCCATTGGTGGGGTCACACGCTCGGTTCGAGCCCTGTTTAGCGACTCTGGAGCTCAAAACGCGTCTTTCGACCGCCTCCTCCAGCGTGGCGTACTCACCCGGGGCACAGCTTGGGCCCGTTGAAGCACTGCTGCCGCGAGGTGAGCATGCGCTTGCAGCCGCGCTCGTTGGCCAGCTCGGCGTTGACGTAGAAGCGCTGCCGGTGGCGGGTCCCCTTGCCGCATGTCACGGAGCACTCGGCCCAGGGCGCCCAGTCGCGCACCTCGCAGCCCTCTGCAAGCACGCGAAGCACGCGGGGGGTATCCGCAAGCTTTGTACAGCGTTTTGGCGATACCCCACGCGACAGGGCCGTCCCCACACCCCAAGCGCAGGGGGAATCCGCAAGCCATTTGTACAGCGCGCGGGAGCCGGGAGATACTCCACGCGGCAGAGGCCTTCCCCGCGCGTCTCCGCGTGGGGTATCTACGCCCCATTTGACGGCGCAGCGTTGTCAGTCATGCATGCCGGTCTTTCATGTCGACGACGTGACCCATATTGGTTAGTTTACCCCAAGAGCACGAAACGCTCACCCTGGTGTCATTTGATGTCAATGTGACTGCTTTTAGTCAAAATTTTGACAAAAACAACGTTATTTCGACGATCACATTGACGTCATTTTGACTTCTTTGACTTCTTCATGAATGTTTCGTGTTCACTGGGTAGGTTGACGCTGACTTCTCCGCCCCTTGGAAGTCCCTGCGGTGGCCGCGGACCTTCACAGTGCACTAGCATACCTCGGTTGGCGTCGCTGGGCTGCTCGGGGTCCTCCAGGTCGGAGGGCTGGCCGTCGCAGGTCTTCTCGTAGAGCCTCTGCCGCACGAGGGACAGGCGCGCCATGGGCCGCATCGGCTCGCCGGATGGGTCGAAGAACGGGGACTGCTCCGTGTTGGGAAACGACGAGGACAGCTTGCGGATGGGCTCCTGGGGGTTGGTGGGCTGGTCCGGGGCCTGGGGCAGCATCGAAAAGGCGTTTTGAGCTCTAGAGTCGCCAAATGGGACTCGAACCGAGCGTGTAACCCCACCAATGGATTGCTCTCCGAACGAGGAATCCATTGGTGGGGTCACACGTTCGGTTCAAGTCCCTTTTAGCGACTCTGCAGCTCAAAACGCGTCTAGAATTTTGGCCGCCTCCACCAGTCTTCTGGCTTTCTCCTCAGCGCACTTACGATGTAGGTGAGCCCGCTGTCGGTGCCCGCGTCGAACGGGTACAGGTTGAGCTGCACGTGGTCCACCCAGCTGCAGTTGGCCAGGCACAGCTCCAGTCCGCTGACGCCCACGATCCAGTCCGGGGACGGGTCTGCGGGCAGCAAGGCGTCACACAACACCATCCTCGCAAACGCTCGCAAAGTTGATATCAAAAGTGATTGCGACCTACCTATCATGGACACGAGCGACATGAGGTGGTTGCGGCGGTCCACGCGGAACACCGCGAACGTCTTGCCCGTCACATTGGGGTAGCTGATGCCCCTGGCCTTGATGATGGTGCGGATGTGGTCGCTCTCGGCCTTGAGCTCGGCCTCCAGGGCGCGCGTCGTGCCGCGCTCCGCCACCTGCTTCAGGCCGTCCGTCGCCATGCCGTTGTACGTCCAGAAGCGGTACTCCACGTCGTGGGACGCGCCGATGACGTCACTGCGACGAGGAGACACGATGGCAACGGGGCTCGGACCGCGCCGCCCGCGTAGGCCACCCAGCTGACGCCACAGTGCAAGCAGTGGGTCAGAAGACCGGCGCTGGCGTGTTCTGAGCCCCAGAGTCGCTAAACAGGACTCGAACCGAACGTGTGACCCCACTAATGGATTCCTCGTTCGGAGAGCAATCCATTGGTGGGGTCACACGCTCGGTTCGAGTCCCATTTAGCGACTATGGAGCTCAAAACAACGCGTCCGGGATTCTGGCCCGCTGTGGTTGTCCACCGACCTGAAGCGAGTGACCCAGGAGTCGGCGGGGAAGTCCTTGGGGTGGGTGTGGCGCGACCACAGCCCCTCGAAGGTGACCTCGTACTTGGCCTCCTCGCAGGCGCAGCACACGGGCTCGATGGGCCGCTGCTCGTCCATGTTCTCCTGCTGGTCCTCGCACACGCGCTGCGTCAGCGACGCGTCCATCAGCTCGTCCGCGTACCACGTGTTGGTGCTGTCCATCACCGCCGCCCTAAAAAACAAATTTTTACAAAATAACATTTTTTTAAAAATTTAAAAATATTTTTTTTAGTACAAAGCATTTCTATTTTTATCTTTGGAAAAATTTTAATTTTTTACAAATTTTTAAAAGATTTTTTAATTTATTTTCAAAAGTTCAATTTTTTTTTTGAAAATGTGACTTTTTTGAAAAACACTGTCGGCCACTGCACCTGAAGATGACGCAGCCGGCGCCCTCCTTGGGGGCCACCCAGTCGATCTGCACCTCGCCGGTGGGCAGGAAGTTGGCGTGCGTCACGGTGTTGGCGCAGCGCTCGTCGAACTTGGACTTGGAGTCGCTGTACAGCGTGAAGCGGCCCGCCGCGCCCTTCTCGCGGTCGTCCTCCGCCTCCACCGTCAGCACGAAGCCCTTGAACATGATGGGCACGTCGCCGTCGCGGCGGCCCTCCACGGACACTGCGGGGAAGCGCAGCGGTTAGCGCCGTGGGCCGGAAGACCGGCGGACAAAACCCTCGACGCGTTTTGAGCTCAAGAGTCGCTAAATGGGACTCGAACCGAACGTGTGACCCCACCAATGGATTGCTCTTCGAACGAGGAATCCATTGGTGGGGTCATACGTTCGGTTCGAGTCCCATGCAGCGACTCTGGAGCTCAAAACGCGTCTAGAGTTTTGGCCGCCTCCACCGGATCGTATGCAGCCTGTCTGAATGCGTGTCTTTTCTCTTGTGTTACAGTGGCGCTAGCGGATGATGTCTCTACGAACTCGCTGGGTCTGCGACTGTGAGGGTGTCAAGGTGGTTCGCCGTGAGTGACAGGTAAGCCTGCCAGTGCACTGCCATTGCACCCCAGGCCTCGAATTTAATTACACAGTGGTGGGGGGCGAAGACTAAGTCGCTAAATGGGACTCGGACCGAGCGTGTGACGCCACCAATGGATTCCTCGTTCGAAGAGCAATCCAATGGTGGGGTCACACGCTCGGTTGGAGCCCTGTTCAGCGACTCTGGAGCTCAAAACGCGTCTGGAGTTTTGTCCTCCTCCAACGGTCTTCTGGCCCACTGTGCGCAGCAAGCCCTGCTGCTTGCTGCTTGCCGCCTCGCTAGACACTTGTTCCGGGCGGAGATTAACGTCACACAATGGAAATGGCGATGCCGGACCAAAATACTCAAGACGCTTCCAGAGAAAGAGAGAGGGAGAGAGAGGGAGTCGACAATGCTGGCAATGCGCGGCGTTCCCAAGCAGGGCGGGGCGGGGCGGGGCGCGGTGGGGTGTGCCGGGGCGTTCCGGACAAAGCCGCCCCGCCCCTCTGCCTTCCAGGGCTGGCCGGGGCTGGCTGGCTGACCGGACTATTGAAAGGCTTGCTCATTGTTGTTGTTCGAAGGTTGGCAACAATGTGGCTGGCTGCACGCGCCACCAGTAGTCCAAGGCGCCACACCAACCCGTCCACGAAAACACGTAACACTTTCTTGAGAGGGTGGGCGCGCGCGGCGCGGCCGGAGGGGGCAAGGCCGGCAAGGCGGTCCAGATCGGACCCGAATACCAATACCGTGTTTTTCGAAGGAGGCAGGGTGCTGGTGGCGAACCACTGCCGCCCCGCCCCGCCCCGCCCCGCCCCGCCCCGCCCCGCCCCGCCCCACCGCGGTCCATTTGCATCCGTTTTGCATCCCCGCTTCATTCCCCAAACATTCGGCTGCTAGCGAGGGGGCGGGTAGCTTGAGGTGCTCTCCGTACTCTTCGAGACGGCATCCGCCATCTGTCCCTTGTTCTCTATGAACTCGCCTGTTTGCTTGCTTCAAAAAATAATAATTTGACAGCGAGCTGCAGTGGACACACTGCGAAAATGAACCCCTGCCCTTACGCGCAGAAAGGGTGCCCGTTTAGTTTTGATTTGGAACTGCTGTACACTCATTTGTTGACGAAACATTAGGACATCAATTTTCTGAGATTGTGTCTCCATCAGTGTTTTTTTCCGGCACTTTTTTATCCTTTTCTGTCACTCTGTCGCACCAGCTCCCTCGTCTCTCCAAAGCACCACCACCCTCTCCGCCTCCCCCTCCTCCTCCCTCTTCTTCTTGCTGCCCTTTGACTGGAGAGCAATCCGGTTGAAAGTTTGGCGGCGGGATTCTTGATTCTTCTGGTTGAAATGGACCGCCACAGCCAGTCCGGGGCAGCCGGCCCGAGATGGCGAACCAGAAAAGTTGTTTGTGCGCGCCTTTAGGCAGTGCCTTGCAGTGCCCTGCCAGGCCCCGCCTTGCAATGCCGTGCCCGCGCAGTGGGCCAGAAGACCGGTGGAGGCGGACAAAACTCCAGACGCGTTTTGAGCTCCAGAGTCGCTAAATGGGACTCGAACCAAACGTGTGACCCCACCAATGGATTGCTCTCCGGACGAGGAATCCATTGGTGGGGTCACACGTTCGGTTCGAGTCCCATTTAGCGACTCTGGAGCTCAAAACGCGTCTAGAGTTTCGGCCGCCTCCACCGGTCTTCTGGCCCACTGTGCTGCGGCTGACTACACGGAGACAACTTGTTGGGCCGCCGGGGGAGGATATTAGGGGTGGTGGCCCATCTGCCCGCTCTCTCTCGCACCCCCCGCAGCTCCGGGCGAATTTCCATAAATGAATTACCCACTGTCTTGGACACACGTTAAACACACGTGCGTGCGTACACTCACACACTAACATCGCGTTGAAATATATTAAATGGAAATCAGTCACAGGAAAAAGTCACAGTCTCTCCCCTGTACGCATGCTTTTTGATCGTATTGGAGCACGTACGGCTCGCCAATATTTGCAATGAAGCGGCGCCAATTTTTCGGGGCCTTTGTAACACAATCAGGGTCCGAACCGCCTCCCCCTTCTTTCCATAAAAATACACGCATTCGCGCCAGCACTGACACTCACTCACGCACACACACACACACACACACACACACACACACACATACATACGTACACGATCCACTTGCCCACTCTGCTCTCTCTCTCTCTCTCTCTCTCTCTCTCTCTCTCTCTCCCTCTCTCTCTCTCTCCCTCTCTCTCTCTCTCTCTCTCTCCCTCTCCCTCTCTCACAGGACGCGGGTCGATCTTGTTACGTAAGTCAGCCAATGGGTTAGTCCTGGCGGCAGGAGCCGGCCGCAAGCGCGCGCACGCACACACGGGGCTTCGCTACGCCTCGCCATTTTAAATCCACAAGACGCACCAAATAATGAAAGCAAATAGTTTTTGAACGCGACTGAGAACTGTGAAAAGGAAACAATGCAGTGGTTTGATGCTGCGAGGTCCTTGTCCGCAGTGTAGGCCCACCGCGGCAGGGCGCCCAGTGCTTCCACAACGGGCCGGCCAAAGTTTATGCAGTGCGGGTCTGGCTGGGCCGCCGACTGACTCCGAGACGCGTCTTCCGTCGCGCTGTCTCTCTCGCACTCACGGGCCGCCCCGTGGAGGTGCGAGAGAGACGGCCAGAGCCTCTCGGAACCAGTCCGGCGTGGCGGTAGCCCGGCGGTGTCTTTCGCCCAACTTTCCTTCCGCGTATCACAATAAACCACTTGCTGGAATAACAGCGGTGCGTCCTGCAGTCCGCACTGCAAACAAGCAGTGTAGCCACGCGGACGGGCGAAAATCACCTCGGTGCACCAGTGCCGAAGGGGTTGCCAACCTCAGCCTGCCTGCTAGGCAACTCTCGAGAGTGAACCTAAGACATTGGCTAGCAGACAGGCTGAGGTAGGGAATCATTTGTGCATCGTGAAAATGTTTTTCCTTCTGTACGGGAACACTAAACACAATGCTGCACTATTTTATGAAACTTTTGTTTTTGTTTGACGACCACGTTCACTCTCCGAATGTTTTTTTTGTTTTCCAGTGTCGATGCACCCTACCTCTGTAGGTCTGGCCGGGCACGTAGGTCTTGGGCCCGCCGCTGAGCACCACGGCGTAGCGGGTGTTGGAGGGCACGGTGTTGTCGGTGGGCACGCAGCGCGGCGTGGCGGACACGACGGCCACCCTGGAGGCGGTCAACGCCAGCGCGGCCGCGGACAGCAGCAGCAGCCGCCTCAGCGCCGCCGCGCCGAGCACCCGCATTCTGTCAACAACAACACAGTGGGCCAGAAGACCGGTGGCGGCGGCCAAAACTCCAGACGCGCTTTGAGCTCCAGAGTCGCTAAATGGGACTCGAACCGAACGTGTGACCCCACCAATGGATTCCTCGTTCGGAGAGCAATCCATTGGTGGGGTCACACGTTCGGTTCGAGTCCCATTTAGCGACTCTGGAGCTCAAAACGCGTCCGCCGCCGCGGCGAGGTGAGGCGAGCGCCTGGCAGGTAGGCAACGCGGAGACAGCGCTGTGCCCGTGCGGCCTACCTAACAGGCGCTACCGGGCGCGGGCGCTCGGCTCCGCGCTGGAGCTCGGCGTTGCAGCGACGGCGGACGCTTCAGCCTCGGGGAATGTGGAACGGAACGGGGCAATCCCAGGAATCTTGTTCGGCCCGGGGAACTATACTTTGTGCATGCATTTTCATTACCAAAAAAAAAGGAAAAAATTGGATAGTTTGAATTCCCCGCATGTCCTGCCTAAAGCCTCCCCTGCTGCCTTTGGCCTCCCTCAGGATGCGCCGGGCTCTCCTCCCTCCCCCTCCCTCCTCCTCCCCCTCTCCCTCCCTCTTTCCCTCCCTCTCATAAATATGTAGCAACCCTGATATTGCCCGCATCACCTGCATTCGCCACAGGTGCGGCGACTCTTTGTGGAATTGCACGAGTTTTACTTTCCCGCTTAGATTTACCCGCCGCAGTCTGTCTGTCTGTCTGTCTGTCTGTCTGTCTGTCTGTCTGTCTGTCTGTCTGTCTGTCTGTCTGTCTGTCCGTCAGTCCGTCTATCCGTCCGTCCCGCGACGCCATGACGGCCAAAGGACGTTGTCCTTTCTTAATTGTTTCTCTTCTTTTGGCAGTGTACCGCTCCATTCTGGAAACGTCGCCGTTCACTCCGTGAGTCCGTGCGTGACAACGTGCCACTCGTCGGGGCGTGCCTCTGGCGTGCCTCTGGCGTGCCTCGTGCGTGGCGCGCGGCCGTCCCAGCCAAGGGCTCCGCGGAGAGCAGCGCCAGGAGACTGATTCCGAGAAACGTCGCCCTATCTCCCTCGCGCCGATACGGGCCGCCCCATGAGTGCGAGAGAGACAGAGCGACGACTCTCGGCATCAGTCTGCTGGAGCGTCGAAGGGCCCCTCAAGTCGCCCTTCCGGGCCGCGGGGCCGCGGGCCAAACGATTCGGAACGGGGCTGCGTTCGGCGCGGGGCCGCGTGGTGCGTACGCCGAATTTGGGGCTTGCTCCATATTCCTGGCTGTTTTCCGGGCTTCCCTGCTTCCCCTGCTGGGGCGGAACAGTGGGCTAGAAGACCGGTGGAGGCGGCTGAAACTCCGGACGCGTTTTGAGCTCCAGAGTCGCTAAATGGCACTCGAACCGAACGTGTGACCCCACCAATGGATTGCTCTCCGAACGAGGAGTCCATTGGTGGGGTCACACGCTCGGTTCAAGTCCCATTCAGCGACTCTGGAGCTCAAAACGCGTCTAGAGTTTGGGCCGCCGCCACCGGTCTTCTGGCCCACTAGGCGGGGCCTCCCCTTCGGCACCGCGACGTATACTTGTTTGAGAGCAAATCGGCCGACGCGCGCCAATATTCATCGCTCCGTCTCTCTCGCACTCGCGGCGCGTGCCGTGAGGCCGTGAGGGTGCGAGAGAGACAGCCAGGCAATGCACATTAGCGAGTCGCGCGCGGGGCGTGCAGTGGCGCCCAGTGGCGCCTCCCCCTCCCTAGTCGTAACAGACGCGCGGTAGACGCCGCTCTGTAAGCCTGCGCCTACACTGTTTGCATTAAAAACCAAATCCCATTCAAATATACGAACGGACCGAGGGGTTCCCGGGGGTGACCGACGCTTGCGTGATTGCTTTTTCGCAGTGCCCCCCCTCTCTCTCTCGCTCTCTCTCTCTCTCTCTCTCTCTCTCTCTCTCTCTCTCTCTCTCTCTCTCTCTCTCTCTCTCTCTCTCTCTCTCTCTCTCTTCCACTACTTAGGTCTGGTGGTGGAGACAAAACGCAGGGGGTAAAGCCAGACTCTCTGCGTGGAGCAGCTGCGACCTTAAATTCATTTCTTTTCCTCACTTTTTCGTTTTTCCCCTTTTTTCCTTCTTTTCCGCTGCCCGTCTGCCAGTCCGCTCACTGACCAAACAAGGACAACGCGCCTCTCTCTCTCTCTCTCTCTCTCCCTCTCTCTCTCTCTCTCTCTCTCTCTCTCTCTCTCTCTCTCTCTCTCTCTCTCTCTCTCTCCCGCTTGGCCTTTTCCCACACCCTAACTGACTCCCCGATTCCTTCCCTTTCCCTTGCCACTCTTGTAAAACTTTATTGCATTTGCCTGTTTCGGTCTGTTTTAGTGTAAATTGGGGACTGGACCTGGACGCCGCGACGCACCCTCCGCCTTTTAGCATTTACGAGCAGGACTGTCACGAAAAAAAGGGAGCACGCCACGCCGGCGGGGGGACCCGAACCCGGAGCCTTTCCGGGTCACGAAACGCGCTGGGGGCCTCGCAGTGCTTCTTCGGCTCCGCGACGGCACAGAAAATGGAAGGGAACGCCTCGCCGTCCGCGGCCAACAAGTCACAACAAGTGCCGTGGCACGCAGCCGCAGCCTCCGAGTCCGGCAGCACGGTCCAGTGCTGCCACACTAGAAGGCGAAAATTGAATTCCAGTCCAGTCCAGCTTGCTGCACTGGGCCACCCCAGTCGTCCGCCAGTGGCCATTGTCACATTGTCCATCGCGGCGCCGAGTTGTGCAACATGTTTTGCTGACTGGCGAGTGACTCACGTCGATCCACGCCGCCTCGCCGCCACACTTCGCTAGACGGCTCTAGACGCCACCAGACCGCGCATGGACGCAGCCAGACTTTTTCATTGACCACGCCGCCGGCTCTGGTCCCTCTGGTCATGGCCAAGTACACTGCGAGCGTCGCGGCGGCGCCTTGGGCCGCCTCGGGCCGCGGACGCGTGGCCGGGCAGTTTCCAGAGCCACTGCCAAATATCGGTGTTGGCACAGTGTCTCGGTAGCCGAGTGGATAGGGGTGTCGACTGGGAAATGCAAGGTCCAAGATTCGACTCCCACCTACGGCGAGAATTTTTTGCCAACTTTTTTTTGCCAACTACCGGAAAATAAAGCCGACGACGTTGTGCTGGTTGTAAAGTCAAAGTCACCCTCCGGGATTTGAACCCGCGCCCCTCGGCGCTGGAAACCAACGGGCTTAGCCACGCGGCCACGCAATAATGTTGCCTCCTAGCCGCGGGGAACGCAGCGGGACCTCCTTCTTTACGCGCCGGCTCAGAGAGAGAGAGAGAGAGAGAGAGAGAGAGAGAGAGAGAGAGAGAGAGAGAGAGAGAGAGAGAGAGAGAGAGAGAGAGAGAGAGAGAGAGAGAGAGAGAGAAAGACTCTTCCCAGACGCGTTGCTCACCATTAGGCCGGCTCACCCAAGGCCTGTCTTGGCTGCAGCAGAGTCACTCTGTCTCTCTCGCACCCTTGGAGGGTCCCGCATAAGTGCGAGAGAGACAGAGCGACGAGAACGCCTCTCGGAATCAGTCTGGCCGCCGGTCCCCAGCCCCACTGCCGCACCCAACCTAATCGCTTCTGCTCGTGTCAAGCAGGACTTCCCCAGCAACGAGAACACATGCTCCCCCTGGGCCACAGTCAGTACCGCGGTAAACTCCAGCCGTGCGCGTTCAGAAATACAGACTAACTTCATAGCCTCCTCATTTTAACTGTGTACTTACTGCAAATAATTTGAAAATTGTTAGTTTGGGATCGTCCATGAAGTAAGTGACCAATGAGTCTTAAAAAGCGTAATGAGTCACCTGCGAAACCCATAAAAGTGTGTTCACATTTTGTGTGTGCGGTGAGTGTGGATGGTCGCAGGGCCGACGAACGCGGATGTCATCTCGACTGTCCTCCCATAACAGTAAAAGGGACTAAAAAAAGGGAAAAAGCCTTTTTTAAAAAAAAGAAGGAACAGAAAAGTGGCGAACCGGACCGGGCTGGACTGCAGGGACGTTCATTTAATTTGCAGCAAGCTGGCCACCAATTTGTCCGGTCCGCGGTTCGGAGCGCCGCCACCCCTTTTCAGCTTTTCCAGCCTTTCCAGTGCATTTGCATTCACGGCCATTTCAGGGATTTCCCAGATTGGACGCCTCTTCCACTGTGCTCCCTGAAAACGGCGGCACATCTATCGCCACACTGCCCAGACCAGGGCACAGTGGGCCAGAAGGCCGGTGGAGGCGGTCAAAACTCGAGACGTGTTTTGAGCTCCAGAGTCGCTAAATGGGACTCGAACCGAACGTGTGACCCCACCGATGGATTGCTCTCCGAACGAGGAATCCATTGGTGGGGTCACACGGTCGGTTCGAGTCCCATTTAGCGACTCTGGAGCTCAAAACGCGTCCGGCGACATGATTCCCCATTCTCCGCTGAATGGCGAGTGTAAAGTGTGCGCTTCTTGCTCTGAGCTTGTCTCTGTCGAAGTCACGAGCAGAGCGGCGACGAGGTGAAACTTTCATTGCGGCTGTGCACGGCTGTGCAACAGTGCAGCGGCCCAGCCCGGTGCAGCCAGCAACTCAAATGACTCCAGGAACTTCCGCCTGCCTCCGTGTCTCGCAAAACCACCCCAGGGCTCGCGCTCGGTTGCACGAGGTTCAGTTGGAAAAAGTAGCGCAGGCGCTCAAATTTCAGCCGTATACGCACAGCAAAATTCTAGTCACAGTGTTAGGTTTTTCGGTTTAAGCTCCTCAGCTTAAATTGTGTAAGCAGCGCCCCTAAATGCATCCACTTAATCCGGTTTTTTTAGCAGATGATACCTTTACACATTCAATACAAGAATACAAGAGTCTGTAAAGGTGTCAGCTAGCTTGTACTCTCAGAACGGGCCCAGGATGGGACGGGACGATGCGTTTTAAATTATTTTTTTTGCATTTTTGCTTGTTGTTTGAGTTGTTGTATCACTGTACTCGCGACCGAGGCCTTCTGTCCGTCGTGCCTGGGGACTGGGGACAAGGTGCGATTGCCGTGTTCCTGACGTTGCCAACTTCCGACCGGCCCGATCCGCGTGTCGTGTTGTCCCAGTCGGGGAAACGGAACGCAGGCTGGTACTCACTTTGAAGTCTTCTCGTGGAGCAAGTGCCAACAAGTGGGTACGGCCGGGCGGGGCGCGGGGCGGGGCGCGGGGCGGGGCGCGGGGCGGGGCGCGGGGCGGGGGGCGTGATGCGCGGGGCGCGTCGGGGGTTCGGAGGACGTCGGCCTCTGCGTCGTGTCCGTTGGGTCCGCTGGGTCCGTGGGGCCCGTCGCGCGGTTGCGTCCGTCGGGGCTCGCTGCCGGCACTGCACTGCGCCCCGCGGCCCGGCGGCCCCACGACCACGGCGCCCCGACGCGCGGCAAGTCATGCGCCAGCCGCCACCGCCCTCTGGGACGCAGTGGGTTCGCCAGAAGACCGGTGGAGGCGGCCAAAGCCCCGGACGCGTTTTGAGCTCCAGAGTCGCTGAATGGGACTCGAACCGAACGTGTGACCCCACCAATGGATTCCTCGTTCGGAGAGCCATCCATTGGTGGGGTCACACGTTCGGTTCGAGTCCCGTTTAGCGACTCTGGAGCTCAAAACGCGACCGGGATTTTGGCCGCCTCCACCGGCCTTCTGGCCCACTGTGCCCTGGTCCCCTACTCCCCTACGAGGCTGCAAGGCACTGCAAGGCCTTGGGAGCCGTGTCGGTTTTGGTCTCAAGGCCACTAGTCACTTGGCGATCGCCCTCGGCCAGTCTCAAGGCCGTCCAAGAGTGTCGTCCTCGGGCAGCGCCAGCAGAGCGCCGCGCATGTCCTGCACAGAGTCCTATAGATGACTCTAGGACTCTAGCTCTGCAGAACGACTCCGGAACGTGTCGCTCTGTCTCTCTCGCACTCATCATCGCACGCATTTCGTATTTTAAGCTGGAAGAGGCGCGGACCTAGTTACAGGCTGCAGAGTAGTAATTCAAATTGCCTACCCATCAGGCGTTCGTTAGCGGCTGGCCGCGCACAGTGGACCAGAAGACCGGTGGAGGCGGCCAAAACTCCAGACACGTTTTGAGCCCCAGAGTCGCTAAATGTGACTCGAACCGAACGTGTGACCCCACCAATGGACTGCTCTCCGAACGAGGAATCCATTGGTGGGGTCAGACGTCCGGTTCGAGTCCTGCTTAGCGACTCTGGAGCTCAAAACGCGTCTAGAGTTTTGGCCGCCTCCACCGGTCTTCTGGCCCACTGTGTCGCGGCCGATCCAGGACCGACGAGCAGCTGTGCCCGGGTTGTGCCCTGGCTGTGCCACTAGCAGTGGAAAGGAGCCACCCCACTGGCGTCCAGCTCTGGCGTCCAGTACTCAGTACAGTGCTGCACGTCGCGCGGTGGCGGCATGTGTGTCACTGATGGTGTCGCAGTATTCAAAGGCGTTTTCAATTGGACCCCCTTCCATCATCTCTCCCTCCCCCTCCCCTCGCAGGGCCTAATTGGTGACTCCACAGTCTTTCCGCTCCTCTCCACTCCGTCTCGTCCTTTCTCCCTCTGTACCTTTCTCTTGATCTCGTCTCCCCCCCCCCCCCCCCTCTCTCTCTCCCTAATTTCGGACAATTTCCATCCGCGTCGATACCCCGTGTCTTGTGTTCTGGGCGCGCGGCGCACGGAGTATCGCCAGTCGGTTCCCTTCGTTCCCTTGCCCGAGTCTGTCAGAAGGGTGGTCTACCTTCCCGGCGCAGTGTTAAAATGGTGATAAAATAACCCACGGTGCGGTGGAGAGGCTATGGACGATGAGTTGCCTTCATATTCAGCGCAAGCTAAAAAAAATCCCAGTCGAGGGGGAAATCACTCTTAAAAACTGTGACCCGACTACTCCCTACTACGTTCTATTACGCTATTACAGAAGGCTTATTACGCTCGAAAATATCCAGATTTAGGCTAAAATCAGACTCTAAATAGGGAAAATTTTTAAAAACTTGGCTATTACGCTATTACTATTACGCGTAATAGTAGGAATGGGTGACCCGACTATTACGCGAGTGATTTCCCCCTCGATCCCAGTTTTTCGCTAGACAAATACTGTTTTGAGCCGAAATCGTCCTCGAAATAGTGTCGGGAGTCTTTGGGGAGTGCTTCAGCCCAAAATACTCTAATTTGGATGAATTAAAATTTTTGGCCCAAAATGGATCAAAACTTTTTCGACGAAAATGGTCGACCACCTCCGATTTGTCTGAAATTCATATGGAACCTTCTCATGGGTCTAAGAAACAGATGCCCGGTGCTCAGTGGCGCTTCACGCATTCTATTTGGCGTGAAAATGACTTTTCCCGTGATGCTAGTTGAGCTCTGGTGCGGAGAAGAGGCTGTGGACAATGGTCTGCCTACCTATCCGGCGCATGTTCAAATAATTTCATTTATTGCGGGATGAAGTCTGTTTAGGGCCAAAATGGGCCTTGAAATAGTTTTGCTTCAGAGTTGTGTTCAGAGTTGTGCTTCAGCACAATGGAAAAAAAAGAGACATGTTCAAGCAACCAAGTATTTTTATTGTACACAATCGATACACACTTTGTAACAAACTGATATGAAAGACACTGAATCATAAAAACTATATCAAGTTACAAAAGGGAGAAACAAAATCTTCATCATAAATTAAAACAATTACTTCAAAAATAAAAATAAAACACAGAACAAAAAAAAATGTTTGTTTTATTTTTCAAAACAATATTTATACTAGACTTGCCCCTCCAGGGCCTCAGAGGCTGAACAGCATGAAGGACTCGCTCAACAAAAAGTTTAACCCACAGTTCATGTGACAATCAGCAGATTGACAGAAGATGCAAAACGCTAAAATAAACTAAAACATTGTCCACAAAAAAGAGTTGGTGATGTGCATTTTTAAAAAGTAATTAACCACAGTAATTTTAATGATACACTTGGTCTATGCATTTTGTGCTCATGGTATCCCACAGTATCTAAAATAGATTTAACAGCAGCCCAATTCCAATTCCAGACCACAGCTCAGTCTCTGTAGACAATCTTGTGCATTAACACAATCCGAACCCAAAACACGAATCGGGAAGATTGCAGGTCCTCTATTTCATTGTCACATTTTCTTTCCTGACCCACCCTGGACAATACACAATTATAACAAAACTCAAGACAATTTTCAAAACGAGGAAAAGAGAATACTTGCATGGTAGAACAAATTAGCTAACTGTAACTTCCACGTGAGGGAAGAAAACATTTTGTCAGGTTTCAACAGAACTGAAGGGAGAAATGGAATTTTATACCTGAATTTTATTGACTAGGCACACATTAGTTAACAAGGAGTTTGATCTATGGAAAAATAGAAACATCTGACCAAACAAACTGAAACACCTAACTTAAATAGCAATCAAAAATGGGCATGATGATAACCATTTGGTCACAATACAAAACTAAACATATGCACATTTCACTGCAACCATACATTTCTTAGTTTACAAATGAACGCTGGGCTCATCATTCACAACAAATAATTTCAGTGATTTCATTTTCATAAATTAGTAATAAAAATAACAGTTGCAACAGTGGAATGTGTTGGACATGACAGATTCAATTATACAGAACAATTGGTAGCGTCAAGCACTGACCCGAAGGGTTGATTATTTGTCATTGTCAGATTTTCGCACTCAACAATACTTTCCATTGCAAGAAAAAATTTCTGAAAACAATCCATTCAAAGCAATTGCTGCATTTAAAGGACCACTCATAACAAGTTATTTTAATGAAAGGACGCAACAAATTTACAGCTTGTGATGGAAAGGTTACACCAGAACATGAAGAATAAAACTGCAAAGATGGACTTGCAGAGATTTATGAAAGAGACGGATGGATACATAACTACTAATCAAAATTTATGAACAGCTTACAATCGCAAGTGACGTTTTGTTTTAATAACCGGGTGCAAAAATATAGGCTCATTTCTTAAGTTTCCAAAATTTGGTGTGAAATAATCAACAGCTTAATGGCTCTAAAGTCTTCACTTTTAGTCATAACAGGTTTTCTTTTTCCAACTACAACACACAACAACTGGAAAATTGCTTTCACAAAAGAATAACAGGTCTCCTCTTCCTTTTTTTTATTGTCCACTACCACATAAGAAGCAGTGAGAAAATACTTCAAAACCAAAATAACCGATTATTCAATGGATAAAGCTTGGAGGGAAACCTAAGGTGGCACAGTACAATTCTAAACAATTTACCATGACAGATCATTTTAGAAAATCATCCACACAAAACCTTATTGCTGGCATAGTTGTTGGCCACCAATAAAAAATTTTAGAGTAGGGCCAAGGAAATTAAATTATGTCAAACCTCAGGACTGAGGAAGGAGCACAGACCAGAGGAAAAGAAAGAAATGTGCAACAATGACATTCAAACAATAAGTTGAAACCAAAAAGAAAGCAAGAACATTGCCTCATCTTGACAAAAAGTATTGATGAAGGTCAAGGTTCATATATGAACGCAACATATCTGGAGGAAAGGCAAGAGAGAAATATTGCATAGGTAAGTAAAATTTTAGAACAATCTTCAAACTCTTTAATGGTGCAGAAGTTTAACTCCATTTAAGGACAACTTTCTGCTCAATCAAACACTCAACAAAAGCATCAGTCTTTCTTTTCATAAAAAATAGGCCATACCACTCTGTCACTTGAGAAATTCAAGATGCCACAAAAAAAAGTGCAAGTCAAAGAAAGAGCAAAACAAATGTTTCAATGCAAATTGACAATACACATTGTTGGAATGAGCAGAACAACCTTCTCACATTTGCTGAATGTAGTTACAGTTAGAATGCAATTTGTGGTTGTCAAAATCCATGACTATCATGAAAGCTGCATAAAACAATAGTCTTTTTTTGGCTTTGCTTTTTTTTCTTAATTTCTTTTTCTAAACAACACAATTTGTCAGAAAAATTGCAAATAAATACCTCCGACAAATATATTTTCAATAGAAAGAAAATGTAACAAAGAAAATGAAAAGATGAGAGAATTTTATCAGTCAACCCATTCCACACAAAAGGCTAAATGAGAATTTGTGTGCAAACTAAACACAAGAAAGCAATAATGAAACAAACAAGAAAGAACTAAAGCTGCCTACAGCTAAAAGGAAGAAAGGGTCTATTAACATAATATACAAGTGATCAGTTTAAATTATGACAATAATATTAGATAACATATCTACGCAATCAACTTATTATCCATCAGTAACGATGTTAAATGATTAGCAGAGAATGCTGAGACTTTGCTCACCCAGACTAATGTAGGCCTAGCATTTCAAGTAGGCAGAGTATAGCGACTTTTTGCAGTCTATAACATTAACAAAGACTAGTAAATACCAAAATTAAGGGAAAAATAAAACAACAAAAAAATTATGAAGAATTTGTTGTCTGTGGACAAAATGTCTCTCAGCTTAGAATTCAATACACTACATACACATAATAGGTTACAATATCAAATTGACAGTAGCAATGTCTACACGAAAACTTATTTTGTGATACTTAACTGCTACAGAGAGACACCGTCTTTACCAAGTTCACAAACACACAAATACCGAAATTTGTTGCCGACCAATCAACAAGATACAGGGGAGGGCTGTTCCCAACAGTGCAAAGTCACAAAACTGACGAATATACTTTGAGGACATGGAGCAATCACCTACAATTAAAACAACTTTAAGAAGCAACATGAGAAACTTTGAAAGAAATAAAACATCCAATGATAAGCTTGTTTCCCTTTACAATCGAACCTACTATCAACATTTTATCAGTCAATTCTCAATTTCAACGGAGAAACAACAAATTTTCTTCTCAAACCAATCTGGTTGTTTGCAATTTAAATTGCAGTTCCCAAAGATGTGTAGGAACCCAATTTTTGTAAGTATAGATCACTAGCAATAAATCTTGAGCACACCCCACCCCTAGGTCCTATTGTTCAAACTTATCATCAATCAACAAATGACAAAATTTACGGAAAGGATTCCACCTTAACAATGAAAAATGAGGAAACGACAATGTTTGCATCCATTAGCTTAAACGCAAACCAAACATTAGCAAAACACCGGATATAAATGAGTCAATCCATCTCGATAGAGGCTCATACCTCAAGCAACAGACTAAAATATCTACAAACAGAGAAAGCGATCAATCTACATCACACACATTGAAACACAACTTTTGCTGTCCTGTCACAAAAAACAGTTTTCTTTTGTACAACAACCCTGAGAAATCCACACAAGTGAAAAAGGAGAGGTACAAATTGGACTGGCAAGACAGGACAGCATAATTAACGATTAAAAAAATATTCACACTATATCAAATCTCTTCTACAGTAAGAAAATGAAGAACATTGAGAGTCTATGTAACAGCTTGGTGCAAGGAGGAGCCATTTGCAAAACTACAAAGTATTAACATGTCACCTCTAGCACAAAATATGTAAATTTAATCCCAGGCCACATTCCACCTCCGGCCCATGATTGTTCACGCACACAGGTAGAGCTTCAAAGGCTGGACCTGCTATGGGATGGATATTCTACAGTAACTGCACTCTTATGCATTCACTAAGTAAGGACAACATGCCCATAAGATGTAAATTCTTTAGTCAACGAACACCCATGTTAGAGAGTGGTAGAATTTACAGGCCCACAAAAGAACATTATTTTTTTTAAAAAGTGTATAGTATGCACATTCACTGTCACAGTCAAGTCATAGACAGGCCTGGGTAAGTTAAACAATCAAAGCATTCTGTATTATCTACTGGCAGTAGTGCTACTGAGGCTTAAATTTTTTTGTCTTACGAACTTTTGATATGGAACACAACAATTTAATATTTTAAAATATACAATAGTCATCAAACACTTCCCTACTATTAAGAATGCTTATATTAAACATCACCATTTTGATTATCATAACGTAACACAAATAACAAATACTGAGCTCATTTAAGCCCCTGTTCAATGTCAGTGCTATAATAACTGTAGAGGAATGCCCTAGTCTTCACAGAACCACTATCAGTGAGTAATATTTAATCAAGTGGACAGCAAACTTGACAGTATGGTCGGTAAATAAGCAGATTTAAGGATAAATCTGTCCATGTAAAGAGCATGTGACAAGTTGTGAAAGCTTTGTTGGAGGAAAATAAGTGCTAAGAAGTCAGGAATGTGACCCCTGAATCACAGATTGGCACAAGTGGAACTAGCTCTATGAATTATGAACATATGAGCATTTCTAATGAATGGCTGAAAGTACAGGCGACAGTCTGGCCAGCAGCTTCAGCAGAACAGTTCCTAGTTAAATTGGAAAGAGAAAGCAAACATGTATACTTCTGACAAGTCTTTTATTTCAAACAATGGAAGAAACATCAACAATAAAACAGATGCAAACATTACTATTGGTATAAAAACAAACTTTAGAATATGTGAGTCTTGGTAAAGAAAAATGTTAAGGAGCCAACAGCTTTGTAAATTCATTGTCTTCAGAAGTCTGATAAGATAAGCAACTACTTAACACCCACGAATTCAAATTAAGAGGGGTGTCAACTTGAGGCAAAAGGACCATCACCAATCAATGCACAATGTCACATGTTCCCAACGTTAATTGACACTGACCTCGCTCTCACCAACGCAATTGCATCAAAGAAAAAAATGTCAATTTAACTCTTCAAAAACAACCAAAACAGAGGCATTAAAACCAAAAATTACCTCAGTGGTTTAAGATGTTCAACTAACTTGGGGAAAATAAATCTTATCTTTTTTTCATACTTAACTGGTCAATGCAAATGAATTTGAATGACAACAACATTAAACTTTTAAAAACGTCTCCTAAGCCTATCTTTTTCAGATTCAGTCTTTCCCTTTGCAAGGAATCATGCAACAATTTCTTGGCAAACCTCTTTGTACTCAAGCTGATAATAGAATTTCTGACATTGTGAACATTGGCAAGAGGCATTTTAGGCAGAAAGTGCCTTATCTGTACACACACACATTGTTTGGCAAACTTAAGCTAACATGAAGAAAATATCAAAACTACTTATTGGGACAAATGGAGATAGACAAATTTCCTTTACATACATACATACACACACACACACACATTCTCAAACACTCTTTAAACAACCAGAGTTCTGTCCCTGCATGTTTGGAAAAGTAAAATACCAATGTGAAATACCAAGACAGACACAGCAGTAGTGAGTAGACGTAAAAGTTAGAGCAAATACAAAAAGTACAAAAATACTTGAAAATATTACATACCTACAAAGTGAGCGGTAGAAGACCGCATCAAGATCTTTTAGCAAATAATGAAGTTTGGCTGCCTTGGCTGTCATGTGAATCAATTTACAACCTAGCAAGGTGGAATCAAAATGCAGTTAAGAGAGAATATATGTATTTCACATTCAACTACTAACAAGGAAAAAACTAAAAATGCATTAAATTAGGTCAAACAAAAACAATTATTGCAAGGAGTAATTTGAAATTAAAACAATTTAAGACCAGCACACTCACTGAGCTACTTAACCAAAGCTAAGGATGGCTATAACACTCAAAAACAATATTATCTACCTCATGCTCATGAAGAACCAGTTAGTGTTGGCCTCGGAAATAAATCCACATTTGATATTGCCCAAGGAACAATTGGGGGCAACTTCCTGGCCAAAACATTTCACGTATTGCTCGATCAAATCAATAAAAACAAAACTAAATGGAACAGAACACATCAAATTGAGCATATATAACAAAAAATGAAGAAAATGGGCTTTTCTTCATGAGAAGTTTTGGCCACATCAATGACTTAAATTTGCAGATCTCAAATTCAATCTATCGGTCTCAAACCCAAGAGAATGTATCCGTAGAAGTCATAAAGGTAAGAGTAAAAATAGCATGGATATTTGACCACAACCAACTGGCTTACATCAAGAATTACAAAAAACCTGAAATGTGGTAGCTACTTCTGGTATGGTAACTTATACCTCAGTACAACGATAAAACGAGAAAAAAAAAGAAAAACGAAAAAGAAAAACAAAGATGTGATGGTATTAAAATGGTTTTACAACAGTCCTATTGATAACACAAACAATCTCTTGGTTTCGAAAACACAAACAAGTAATACTTTGACCATACAATCTCAATCTAACTACCCAAAGTGCTAGTCCAGCACTTCAAGTACAACTCGTGCAATCAAAACATCAGTGATAAAGAAACTGAGCAGAAAAAAAAAATAACTTCTTCGTAACCGACTGCGTCTTTTATCTTAAACTCTGGCAGCATACTTAAAACAGGAAAAGATTATTTGACAAATGAGGACTAATATTGCAGTGCATCAATAATCCAACCAGATTCTCTAAGCCAAACTTAAAAAAGATAACAAATAAAAATAAAAACAGCATTTAATAGAAAAGCCTTTGGATACTTTGTAGCAATCCCAGGCGTCATGGAAGGTAGGATCTAACACATATTAGAGTGACTAGCATGCGTCGGCCATGGCCGGTACTTCACATACTCCCCAAGGGCAGCATAACAAAAACAAACCAAACACTGCACATTATAAATCTATAGCAGTCTTAGGAAAAGAAAATAAAAAAAACAACATGGAGCAGTGGTTCCTCTCTTTGGATTCCTTGCATTAAAAATCTTAGTAACCTCAACTAATTCCATTTCACTTTGAAAACATGTGAAAATGAACTTCTCATCTCAATTTACAGTGCAAGAAAACACAAACAGCATATAATAAAATAGAGCTTGACTTCTGCCAAACATGTTTCTAAGGGCCAGGCACCACTTTTTTAACTCCAGACAAGTATTCAGCAAATGCTAAGAGTTCCCTGTTATATAAATTTCAAAAAGTTTTTGGTCAAAACAATGCTGCTGGTTCACTGACATAAAAAATAACAATGATGCATGAAAGGAAATGCCTAAAATGTGTGCCTCAGCTTCACAGGCAGGGCAATGCACACCCACCAACTAATGAACCTTTCAACACATTCTTAACAGTTCAAATTACAAAACTAACTATACCTATGTCTAACAATTATGTCAGGGAAGAGAATCACTACTTGAGAGTTCTACAAAACAATATGTAATATTCAGCAAATCTTGGCACACCACTCCTGATAATATGCACTAACAAATACGGAATGGTTTGTGAGTGGACCAATTTCCACAATTTCTTAAGTAGAAAAATGCAACAATGGAGAGATCTTTCCATCAGCATGCCCGCCCAGACGCCAAATAAAGAAGGAAGAAGGATATGTTAATATAAATACAGCAACAACAACATCAATAACGTTGTATGAAACCACACACATTCTTACCTACAACACACGTAGGGAAAAAAAACAAAGTTCCATTAAATAGCACCAGCTTGATAGCTAGGTAAACTAACATCTGGAATGGGTGAATGTGCTCAACAGTGAAGAACATCTTACTTTCAAGCACAAATAACGGACAAGTTCAACATCAGGGTAATAACCCAAACAATCACATGTGCAATGCTTAGATAAGAATTACATAAGATTCCAAAACTTGGCAAGTCTCGCCAGGAAAATTCACAGCTTAAGACACACCGGGCGAGGTTAAGTCACTTCAGTCTTGCACTTTGCACCGTATCACGATGAAATGCAGCAGAGCAGTTCCCTCAAAATGAGAGCAAGCTTCAACAGCACATCAAATAGTCTAGGGTGGTGGCCAGAGCACAAACATTCAACCTCCTCCTTACAGGCCAATGGGAGGCACCTGCACATAGCGGTAAATGTACAGACGGTAATCCTTGCTGGCAAGCACCACCGACCCATCATCCATTAATGCAACATCGAAGCACTGGGCATGCTTCACCTTGGACTCCAACGCAGACACCAGTTGGCCATCTTGGGTGAAGATGGTCAGATTGAAGTTGTTGTGATTGTCAGCAATCAAAATTTCTCCAGCAGCATTGATGCCTACTCCAATGGGGTAGTTGGTGATGCCTTCTCCACCAATCTGACGCAGGAACACTCCTTCATAGTTGAACACCTTCACACAATGGGCACGATTGTCACTAATAAAGATCTCCTGCTTGTCATTCACAACTACACCATTGGGGAATTCCAGATGCTTGGAGCAGCCGAACTTCTGAAGAACGTTTCCAGTTTGATCAAAGATAATTACTCGCATTACTTTGCACTCAACAACAACAATGCGGCCCTTATTGTCCACAGTCACACCGCGTGGGTGCTGCAGAATGTTTGCGCCAAACTTGCGCACAAACTGTCCATACTGGTTGTAGATCTGAATCTGGTGAGTGGGTGAACGCTCAGTGACAATGATGTCACCAGATGTGCGCACAACAGCAACTCGGTTGGGATAGAGGAGCTGACCATCCCGTTTGCCACATTCGCCAAACTGGAACTTGAAGCGACCTTCTTTGTCAAACATCTGGATACGGTGGTTGTTGGTGTCTGCCACAATGATGTCATTTTGAGCATTCACAGCAACACCACTGGGTTCAGTAAACTGGCCTTCCATCACCCCAAATTCTCCAAACTTGCAGTGGTAGATCATTTTCTGGCGCTTGATCTGAGACTTGGGAGGGAACATGGAGGTGGACAGATGGAGCTTGGAAGTCAAATCCATGACGTCACCATGGCTGCCCGATGACAGGGAGTAGTGGTCGCTGCCACCATTCTGGTAGAGTTCACCTCCATTGGACCACTTCTCATAGGGGTTGATTCCATTCAGGTTGAGGTCACCAAGGGTGGAAGAAAATGGGCCCAGGCTGTTGGCTGAGCTGAATCTCTTGGAGATGACGTTGGACTCGTAAGGAGAAGCAGTCGGGCTTGGAGAGGAGCCCAGGCCGTTGCTGTATGGACGATCCAGCACACCATTCAAGCCTCCATTCACTCCGTTCATGCCATTGTGCATGCCACCACTGCCGTTGATGGGGATGGGCGTTCCGTTCGCAGATCCATTGGTGATGGTTCCATTGGCGAGGACAGCCCCGTTGGTGGGCCGCGCGATGGGAGGCTGCTTGCTGGGGCCCACATTCACTTCAGAGGCCGATCTCACATATCCAAAAGTGTTGCGAACTCCGACCTGCAACACAAGAGCATTCTGTCAGATAACAGATTAAGATTACAAGGAGAAGGCAGTGTAAATAATAAACAAAATTGCTTCATGAAATTAGAGAAAAAAATAATTTACCTGGATTGCTTGGTAGTTGGATACAAATTCCAAGTCACAAGCAGCGTTTGTCAGGCTTGTATCGGGATTGAATGATGCCAAAGCTAGGAGTTTGGAATCCAGCAACTTCTTGAACATGAGAACTTCGGCTGTGCTGGCATATTTGGTCAATCTCTCAACAAAGTCGCAGGTCTGGTAAATTTTGTCTACTGTTTCCTGGCCCTTCTGATTTAGGACTGTCAGTGCAACCTGCCTGGCAGAAAATACACTGTCCAGCTCCTTCAGCAACTCCTGCTTTCTTTCTTCCAGCATGGATCTGTAGAACTGGAAGGTCTCATTTATTTCGTTCTGAGCCTTGTGGTACTGGACAGACAGACGACCTGAAGAGTGCTCCAAGTTCTTGAGCATGTTTCGAATGTCTGTTGCCTTCACTTTCCCCTCTTGTACTGCCTGGCTCATAAGTTCAACCTAAGAAGGAAAAAAAAGAACAGAAAGTTAGTACCATTCAACAGAGCATATTTAAATGTTATCAGAGTCAAAAATTAAATGAACTTACTTGCTTAGGACCCACATCACTAATGTGCTCGTAGTCGTGAATGCCATTGGGATGATCCAGCATGGTGCATTCTTTGCAGATGGGTACGTTGCAAGAGCGGCAAAAGTACTTCAGCGCATCCGTCTTGTGTCTTGGACAGAAGACTACTTTGTCTACTGCCGACTTGATCTCCTCCTTGCCGCCGTTCTGAAGTTGCAGCTCACTGAGATTCATGACTCTATGGCCCTCAAAGCAGTGCATGAACTGATGAGCCATCACGCAGTTGGGGCACAAGTAGTTGCTGCAGTCCACACAACGTGCAACTGCTTCAAAATCTGAGCCTCGGCAGCCTGTGCAACGAGGGTTGGAAGACTTCTTGTCGTCTTCGTTGATTATATCACCCAAGACACCGGCAACAGAAAAATCTGAGAGGAGACCAGAGATTCCGTATGAAGAGAGGATGCACTCTTGCTGACAGGTGGCGCAAGTTAACTTTTCTGGGTGCTCTTGGTTTCGCTCCAGGCAGGATTCGCAGAAGGAGTGGAAACAGGGCAGGACCTTCGGGTTGGTGTATGTATCATGGCATAATCCGCACTTTGTGTTGAAGTTGGAGCTCAGCACGTTGAAGTTGACACTGCTGTTGCTCGAAGACGAAGATCCATTCACTGTGATCGGTGACGAGTTGGGCAGAGACTGGGGTGAGAGCGAGCGGAACTCTGACTCAATCAAGGATTCGATGGAATTGGCAGCTGGTATGGAGTCCAATGAGGAGGTTGGGGAGGCCATCTTCAATTCACCTTCATCCCTGCAACAAAAGAAACACAACATTGAAATCAAAATTGAACCAGAAAACAATTTTAACAGAAGTTCGCGCTCCATGGAAACCGCAAAAGCTTGATTCATGCAGCTCATGACTCAAGTCAGGGGCAAAAGTACGTTTGAAAATTTCCCGCCGCTTCCCCCACCCCTCCACTGAGGCCCCAGCCCCAGCGCGGCCCGGCGGCGCACAACGGACGGATAGCCTAGCCGGAGACAACTACATTCAGAATTTACACGCAACTCGCATCGTAAATCACAACAACAGCAGTCAATTCGGTGCTGCGAGTGAAGATGTCAGCTAGGGCACTCGCCGGCAACCCCGTCTGAAAGTGCCGGCCGGAAATCGCGCCAAACCCGACAAAGCCGGGCCGGCATGGACAAAGGACCAACATTGCATCCACAAGAAGCCGTCAAAACGTGACCACAGGCAACGATTCACGTCAAAAGCGGCGTCCAGACACAGCCAGCACCCACGCGCACCACTCACAGTCACAGCACCGGCCACACGTGGTGGCAAGCGGGGCAAACGCGCCGCCGAGATGAGGTTACCTTTGCATTGGGAAGACTAACAAAGAAAAAACAAGTCGATAAAATTTTAAAAACAGCACGACACGCTGTGCACGCAGTGGGCGCACATCGGCGTGGGGCGTAGAGTTAAGGGGTTAAAACAAAACTGGTGAATTGGGATGGAGTGGCACTGTTGGCTTCGCGCTTCGCGCCTGTTCCGACTCGCACGTTTCCAACCGGGCTCCTCTCCTACCCACACGGCACGGACAAAGCACACTGGAGGCCAGAGGCGGGTTGAGGCCCCGCGCGGCGGACGGACGGACGGACGGACAGCCGGCGCGGCGAGCAGACGGACAGACAGACAAGCCGATTGGCGGGAGTACCCCGCACTCCCCGCCCGCCCCCTCACCCTCTCCCCGGCACGCTCGCCTCGCCTCGGGAGCCCCGGCTCGGCTCCCGCTCGGCTCGGCCCGCCGCGGCTCGGCTGGACCGACGAGGGGCCCGGGCGACGCGGCGAGACGAGACGAGGAGGTTCGGGACTTCGGGACCGGAAAGGCTGCAGCAGCCGACGCCGACGGCGGCATGGCGATGGCGGGCCAGAGCTGGCCAGAGCCAGACTCTGCTCGACAGGACAGACTCGGCTCGGCGCGCTAAGAACCATCAAGAACACGGGCAACATGGGCCCCATGGCCATGGCCAGGGCAGGCAGGTAGACCGCGCACCGCGCCAGGCCGCCACGCCACACCGTTGCCAAGCAGGCCCACCTACACCCGGCTCCCCGCCCCGGCTCCCCCCTGTTCGAACACTGACCAAGTCAAGGCGGCTCGGACGAGCCAGGCGCGCGGACGCAGGACAGCGCCGCGACAGGGGATTTTCGATTTTTCTCTTTTCCATTTCCCGCTGCTTTTCGGACTCGAAGGCAGGCCAGCAGTTTTTGTGCGGCCGGCGTCCCCATCATCTATGCCGAATCCTCCCTTTGCGGGCCTGCCTGGCACGGCCTGCCTGGCCGGAGGACGAGGACGACTCGAAATTCCAAAAGATAAACGACGTGTCTGTCACGCTAACAATGAGGTGCGATGCGGCGTGACCGGGGCTCGGCACGGCGTGGCACGGCTCGGTGCCTCGTCTCTCTCGTACCCCTGCGAGACGCCACACGAGTGCGACGAAGACAGAGCGACGAAAGCACTGCTGGAAATCGGGCCTTGCTTGAAAAAATCACGTTCCTGGCGGAATTCCGCGTTGCACAGTGGGCCAGAAGACCGGTGGAGGCGGCCAAAACCCCTAAACGCGTTTTGTGCTCCATAGTCCCTAAACAGGACTCGAACCGAACGTGTGACCCCACCAATGGATTCCTCGTTCGGAGAGCAATCCATTGGTGGGGTCACACGTTCGGTTCGAGTCCCATTTAGCGACTCTGGAGCTCAAAACGCGTCTAGGGTTTTGGCCGCCTCCACCGGTCTTCTGGCCCACTGTGCGTTGGCGTCGCACAGCCGGCATGTCTCACCCCCACACAGTGGAGCATCGATCCCATGCCAAATCGGGCATCGGAGGGCGAAAGACCGGCCTGGCCCGTCCGTTCACTTTTTGGAACATCAGTAAGTCGTCCAAGTCACCGGGACCACGACGCGGGACGCCGGGACGCCCTGCGCGCCCCCAAGCTGCCCCTAGCCCCCTAGACGTCGTGACGGTGGTGACGTCATACCTGTTGCCTAGCAACGCTAGCAACCCCCCGCCGCTTGTTACCAGTGTTGCTGCTCCCTTCCCACCCTTTCCCACGGCGTCTCCCCGACCCCCGTCCCCTCGAACCCTTTGACACACGCTGCCTTGGCGCTGCCTCAACGCGATCCTTGTGATCTGGAGGCTTCTATTTTGATCCCGGAGGCCTGGAAAGTGCAGCCACATTCTGTCCCTCTCGCACCCACGGGGCGCCCCGTCAGGGAGTGAGTGCGAACTGCAGCCCGTGGCGTTCTTTACAGTGGATTCTTCCACTGAGGGCAGTGCGACGCAGTGAGACGCAGTGCGGGGCCGGCCGGGGATTCTCACCTCCTCTCTCTTTCTCTCTCTCTCTCTCGCTCCGAGTCGCCAAGGTCGAGAAGATGGCGAGGGACCTGCATGGAGCGTCGCGCTGTCTCTCTCGCACTCATGGGCCGGCCCGTGTTAGGTGCGAGAGAGACAGAGCGATCGAAAAGACTGCTGCAGGCGTTTGAACAGGCCCGGTTAAACTGTGAGAAAACGCCTGCAGGTGTGCTTGCTTTGCGCGTGTGTGTGCGCGTGTAGGATGCGGGCTTCCGAGAAATCCGATAGCCTCCGGTGGCCTGTCTGCTGCAACCGATATCCTGCTGGCCCTGCTGGTGCGCAGGAAGGCTGCCCTAGGCCCTCTAGTGCGGCAGTGACAAGAGGCGCATGGACTGCACGGGGCTGTCATGGCCGGCCCTGCAGGTGCGAGAGAGACAGAGCGACGAAAACGGCTCTGGGAATCGGACTGCTGCGCTCCGGCATCCGCGGCCAAGCCAGGCCAAGCGGCCATGCAGCCAGACTCTCGGAGTGCTCGGCCTTGGGGAGGGTGCTGCGTCGCTTCCCCACTCCCCCACGCCCCCGAGCAGGGCGAGCAGGGCGAGCAGCCCAAGCAGCAGACTCATTCCGAGAGTCGTTTTCGTCGCCGTCTCTCTCGCACTCGTGGCGCACCCCGTGGAGGTGCGGCAGAGACAGAGCGACGAAAACGACTCTCAGTCTGCAGGGCAAGCAGGGCGGTAGGCGGGCGAGGGCGAGGCAGTTCGAGGGGCCCCTCCGGTCGCGTCCGGGAGTGCAAGTGCGAGAGAGAGGGCAGGCTCGGAGGCGGCCCCGCCTGCCCCGCCACCCAGACAAGCCGCCCGCTCCACTGCCGCCCCAGCTTCCCAGTGTGCCTGCTCAGGCTTGCCGGGCTTGCCGAAACAAGAAGCAAGTGGCCCGCACCGCACAGTGGGGCCCAGGCCCACCACTGTAAGGGCCGCAAGTTCAAATGGGATCAGTCGGTGACGAGTTCCAGCCGGCCAAAGTGGCCAGGGAACCGAGGGGGTTCGGCTCATCAAAGTTCCGATTTCTCGCAAACGGCGGGACTTGCACTCACATGCCCTGCCCGGGCCCGGGGACGCCAGTTTCAAAATTCAATTTCCAAGGCCTGCTCTACCTCTACCCTGCCAAGGCACGAGGTTGCCTTCGGCCGAGCCTTCGGCCTTCGGGATGGTCCCCGACTGGCCGCCCCTAGGGTGCCCACCCGGCCGAGGGAGGCATGATAAAGGACGCCACGCCACACATTCCTAGGGGCGTCCCTCGTCGTCTCTCTCGCACTCGGCGACCGCCAACGGGAGCGACAGAGACGGATGGGAGGACGGCGTTGACGCCCCCGGCAAGGCAAGGGCCTGGGTCCGGGGCCGGCAGGCCCGGCAGGCCCGGCCTACGCGCATCCTGTGTCCTCTGCGGTTTCATTGGAACCATCCAGGCGATCAGAGCGACCCAAGAGAGCGACCGCAGAGCGCCGCCAGAGCGCGCATCGGACGGAACACACTACGCGGCGAAGCTGCGTTCGGGAACGTTACCCCCGTTCTGGTCCAAGGGCTCGCTGACGCTGACGGCGAGGACGAGGACGCCGAGGACGGGCACGGCCGGGCGACCTCGGCGATGACGCAGACACGCTGCCGGCTAGTCCCTTCACCTCCCCGGCCGGCCAGGCGCGGCGGTGCGGCCAGGTAGGCGGGCGGGAATCCAACGACGCTATAAAACCAGGGTTCTTACGAGGCGACGACCAATTCAGACGACGGCGTCCACGCGCCGCGTCACCGCGCCCAACGCCCCCGTTTTGACAACCTTGTCAACGCGGCCGCCACGCCGCGGGGGCCTGGCTGGTCGAAGAGCGCAGAGGGACCGGACGTAAACACACAGGCCACACACGCTTGGTCCCTGCGCTGCCAGCCACTCGGAGTGGCCACTCGGAGCCTCGGCGTAGCCGCGCAAAAGGCGGCAAAGAAATGACATGACTTTTGCGCCGCTTGCCGTTTGCCGCGCTCCTTTGCCAAAACACTTGGCCAAGGTGGCTGGCCGGCCTGGCCGCGTGGGGTCCACGCCGTCCACGGGATGCACGGCCACTGGGCGTTGCGTCACACTGGGCCGTCGCTCTGTCTCTCTTGCACCCACACGCGGCGACGCTACGCCCCACGAGTGCGAAAGAGAGAGAGAGAGGTGGAGCCTGGAGTCGACGAAGGCACGGCCCGGCCTGCGACTTGAACTGACGCAAGCAGCGGGCCAGGGCCTCGCCGTCGTCTCTCTCGCACCCTGGAGAGACGCCCTGTGAGCGTGAGAGAGACGGACTGCGAGGCGGTGCTGACAGTGTAGGCATGCCAGGGTTCAAGTGCACGCATTTGGGGGTTGTGCCCCCAGATGCCTCCTCTTCTCGCTCCCCTCCGAGCGAGCCTCCGCGGCCCCGGTGCTACTTTTGGCTCTTTT